AATGTCCTTCATTATGTCAATTAGAGGTCAAATAGCGGTTTGACCTTGAATGACCTTGAGCCTCCGTATTTATGGTTCTTCAATCTGCGGCAGCTCATGGTTCAAGTCTGAGGTGTGTAGCACCAACCGTTCCTAAGTTATACCTGCAAACAGGCGTAAAATGAAAAAAAACGCCCGGTATGTTAGAATAACCTTGAATTCAAGCCAGCACAACTTTATATATCATTATATCAAAATTTGTGCAAATCCATTCGTGGTCCATCCATCCGATCCATCCACATCCATGGTTTGTCTGCAACCGTGTGATCAAGAATTCAAAGGTTTAATTTTCAAAATGATCGAACTTAATCTAAATTCTCGCTACAGTCACATAATTAAGTTTATTTTCATTATGACGAGTGTCTATGGATTATCTTTGGACTAAAATACTTCGATATACGCATAAATTCAGTGCTATTACATTATGAATATAAGATTAAATGGATCTGAACTATAAGCAGAATCTAATCAAGAGGCTGCATGCTTTGGTCACGATCATTGCAAGAAACTTTTTTGTTTACCTTTTCATCTTTTTGAGTTTCAGGCAGTACTTTCAATAATCAATATTTCAGGTTATTTGTGTTTCTTTTTAAATTCGTTGAAGAGGGGAAAATGAAGGGCTGGATAATTTTGTTACTTACTGATGCAAACTTGTCCGCAATTCACTCGACAAAATCCAGACGCAGACGAAGAAAAAGATGTTACAAATTTGAGAAAATAATACAAATGGTGAACCAAAGCTGAAAATGGAAATGGATTTATGTTACCTTAACCTAAAGTCTTTTCCCATTTTTCTTTCTTTTTCGCTCTTCCATCATGTTTACAGCCCTGGTTAATCATGGAAGTATTCCTGAGTGAATTAATATCTTATCTTTATACTGGCTTTCCACTAATACCTTGAACACAAAAAGTCAGAATATTTCAGCTCATCTATTGGATGATAATATAGTTGAAACAAACTAGTTGAATGAAACAATCTGATTGTGAATCATTTTACTTGATTCCTCTTCTCATGTTTGTTCATATTCAAGATTCCCAAATGATTATTATTTATCAGAGTGCAAAGAAAAGACAGGCCAAGATGATTCTGATTATTTGAGTTATGAGAGGAAGAAAAGGAAGAAAAAGATTTGCCAAAATGTACAACATTTACTTTCTTATAAATTATCAAACCATGTAATCATGATGGACCATCATGATGGTCATCCAATGGGCATCGAATGTTTCATCTTTTATCAAACTTTTATCAAAAAGTTTCAGGGATTATCATTGTTTAATAACGCTTACAACTTTACACGAATTTACTTGTCTTCACTTTAATCTATTTATCTCAACATTTCATTTGCATTTCAATAGCATTAATAGATTGCTGGTAAAGTTGAATTGAGCATGAAAAAGATGTACATTTAAAAGAGCAAAGCCAAACAATAAAACTTCATGTTTTTTCAATCTTTTAAGTTCAGTAGAAAACTGCACCTAATCCAAATTAATAAGCATAAAAAGTAAAGCAAATTCAGTGATTGATATCCAAGCACAGAATCAGGAATAAAAAATTGAAAAAATTGAATCAAAAATATCTCTTCTGGTAAACCCAATGCTACAGACATTAGTTACTCAAGTAAGACAAGTCTGACCGAATTGGGTTGAGTTGTGCGGATGACAAGATAGACATAAGAAGGCTCAACTATCGACTTGTTGCAGCACAAAGACTAGGCTCTGACTAGGAACATGCATCCTCTGATGAATAGTCACCATGTTAGTTCAAAATATCCTGATTATATCGAAATTCAAATTTTCCTTTGATGAGATTCTTGTGGCTATTTTATGACAAAAAGCTTTCATTGTTGGTCTTGAAAGCCGTAAATTTATTGTTGATTGATAGTCGATCAATTATCGATTTACTGAATCTTGTATTTTTACAACCATCATGAAATCGAAATGAATCGCTTTTAGAGTCGATAAAATTTTTGAATGGATAACCATGATTGTGGTGGAAACACGATAAAATCGAAGTAAATTTATCTTGAGTTTTGAATAATTTGTGAAAGCAAACGAAATATGAAAAAAGTCGATTCCATTAACTTATTGAGAGATCGAATGGATTACTTTGTTCACTCGTGATTAATGCAAATGCATTTTATTGCAACTTTTTATTAGCCAAACACAATTTAATGATGATAATGATGATAATAATTGAACATTAACTTGTTTATGAGCATTTAAGAGAGACAAATGTAAAGACTGAATAGCAAATAGTTGATAATTACATTACATTTTTTGTTTTCTCCTTTCCTTTCCCTTCCCTTTGAACATGATAAAGATGTTAAATAAGTTTATCACAATTACAAGTTAACCTCGTGAAGTTATCATCTGGGAGTTAAAGTTATCACTCTACTCTTGGGTAATGTTATCATCAAAGGTTATCTTCATTTCATTATAAGAGCGCTTTCAGAAGAAGAAGAAGCCAAAAATCGTCTCTTTCTTTTCTCTTATTTCCTTTTCCATTATCAATTGTCTTCTCAAATTATTATCATTTTGTCCATTGTATTCATTACTATTAACCTGTTAGCCAGTATAGCCAATAGCAACATGATAATGCGATAAAATTATTATTTCCATTTATTCTATTCAATTGGACATTCTCAGGTTGAACAAGAAATTATCTTAATGAACCAATCATTTCATATCCTTCATCACAATGTCCATCAAATTATCTGGAAACATTATCTGCCAACAAGAATGTTTCCAACAGAAAAACAAGATATTTCCATAATTAACAGATAATACTGAAAAGAGTAAAAATAATGAACTTTTTTTTCGTCTCTCGCCAAGTTTATCATTAAAATTGCAACTCAACTGTCAACCAGAAAAGAAAAATATTGCAAAGAAAAATGTAAAATTTCAAATTATTCCAACCAGAATGTGCTCATTTAAGATGGTTCAACTTGAACAATTGTCATTTCTCATGTTTTTTAATGTTTTCCATTTTTTCTCATTTCCAGATTCTTCAAGTTCAAATGAATGATTACAAATATCATTATCATTTTACAACTTTTGTAAGTAACATTTTTTGCTCAACATTAACTGCATTCCATGATCAACACTTGTTTCCCATCAATCAGCTTCAAGTAAATAATCATTTCAATGGATAATCAAGTTTCCATCATTTGTTGAATTATTTATTCATTGAGTGTCAATTTGGCCGCTTTGTTCCTTTATCGCCATGATTTGCATGAAAGAGAAGAGAAGAAAAAAATGAATCCATTTTTCAAAAAATTATCTTGTCCAATGATTAATGGATAACCATGATTCTGGTAATGATAATGATCATGATTATCAATGATAGTTTTGCATTTTCCTTTTTTTATGTTTTCTCTTCTTGTTCATTTATTCCAGTTTCTCGGCCTTTTTCATCACCATTTCATACCCTTCTGTATTCAATGTTGCTTGTCTCTAATGTTGTCTTTAATGTTGCACTAATGGATACAATACAGAGCAAACCAAAATTTCTCATTCCAACAATCAATCACAATTAGTGAGTCAGCAAATTAGATAATCAATTATCTTGATAAAAAAAGGTACTTTGTACTTGTTAGTCAACTTTGATCCTTTCCTCTGTTTCATTAATAACTGTACAAACATCTTGAACCGTTTACATATCATACAGACTACAGGTTTGCCAGAGCAAAACAAACCATTTATCAATGTGCAATTGAAGTGAAAATTGATTGGAAACGTTGAAACCTTTTCATTCCCAAAAGCAGCTTTTTGCTTCATTATGCTTTCGTCCTTTTTCGTTGCTTTCTCATGTTTTCCCTTGTTCTTTTCAGGATGTTGAAATTTATGATTTGGAAAATTTTAAATATAATTTTGTAAATATGACTGCCTATCGATTAATTGACTCAAGCAACACACGAATTGGAACAATCTTGGAAGAGATTGAAAAAATTCAAGCGGTTGGACAACCAATACTCAACCGAACCAAAGTTATCCAAGTAAGTTTTCAAACATCAAAAATTGCTAAAATACGTTGTGAGATTGGTTAAGAATGAACGGGTGACCTGTGAGTAAAGTCCTCATGATGATTTGGGCATCTCAGCAAGTTGAGCATGTGATAGAGAGAAAAATACATGAAATAAATCATTTTGATCGCAAAACTGTGTTCTACATTTTAATACATAATCCAGTCTAACCAATTACTCCATCTTTTCTTAAATGGATTTTGAATGCGCTCTTTTTAAAAACAGTTTTCCAAGCCCATGTTTAAAATAAATAGACATTGAGATGAGACAAAAAGCTAAAACGCTGGCCGCCTATTTTAACGCAAGCAAGGTTGATTGAAAAGTTTTGGACTTGTCATGAGGTATAGCCTTGAAAAAGAAGAATGTTCCGATCCGATTTTAAGATCGATCTGATCGATTTTTCTCGCACAAAAATTAGTAGTAGGTATGATATACAGGCTGAAAGAGGAGGAGCCTCCTTCAACCTGTTTATCATGGCGGGTTTTTAGGGAAAGGGAGAGGGGAAGAAAGAGAGGGAAAATAATGAAAAGGCAAAAGACGGCATAGAATAGAATGAGAAAATGGAAAAGAAGATAGAGAAGATGAAGATGGCGAAAAGCGAAAATTAAGAAGCCGAAAATGAAAAAAGAAGCTTTAAGAATAAAAATAAAGAATGAAGATGAAGAAGCAAGAGCACTTTTTGTCAAAAGCGTTTATTTTTAACGCGAAATTATATACAGGTAGGAAATGGCTCCTCCTCTTTCAGCCTGTATATCATACCTACTACTTAGAGCTGATAGTGAGTATTCGAATACTCGATTATTCGATTATTTTTCGATTATGATTATTTAGAATATTATTCGAGTATTTCAGATGATCGAATACTTCTATCCGAATATTTTGTGGATTTGAAATTTTTTTACAGGTTTTTTGACCAATTTCTGTTCAATTATGTGTAATTTTTGTTAAATTTTTACGGTTTTTCTCTCACTTTAACCACTTGCGAATATTCGACGGATATTCGAATGAGTATTCGAATAAAAAAAAATATTCGAATGTGGATTCGAATGTAAATATTCGCAAAACTATCAGCTCTACTACTACTAGAATTGATCGAACTCAACTGCGAGAAAATCGATTGAACACGAGAGAGACGCTTTTGTTGATCCGCTGATACTTTTGCGTTTTGAGAAATCAAGAAATTTAGTGTTTCAGGAATTTTTCGCGATGTAATTGTGCTTTTATAAATCGAAATTCATCTAAAAAATCGATCTCACGATAGTGAGTAAAAACCGTCTGTCGCAAATCCCTAGAGAAAGACCAAATTGAGCAAAAATTCGGATAAATTCAATACATTTTGACAAAATTAAATAAAATTGCATAAAAATTCTTGGCAAACGTTTTTTGCTGGACTCAAGCATGAACTCAGATTATTCAGTAGAAAAGAATATATGCATGTTGAGCATTTTCAATTGAAAAACATTAATTTTTAGACTTGTATCTATCTTAATTATTTGTCAAAAATTAGATTGAATAATTCAATCATATTACAATTAAGATGCGGACTCTACTAACAGGTCGCCTTCCATTTTTCAATTAGTTTTTTTAGTTTTGTTGAAACGAGTTTCGATAAATGTCAATCGATGTTTTTGGGTTTTCTTTAATTTCATTTCATTCTTAGGCTGCTCCTGCCTTAATGTACGATTCCGTCTATGCTCTTGCAATGGGCTTACATTCATTACAACTAAGCAATCCATCCATACAATTACGAACATCAAATGCTTCATGTGAAACTGAAAATCCATGGATTGATGGATCCAGTCTATTCAACTACATCAACTCGGTAAGTCACTCCAAGTTTGACCCAAAACTAATCTATCTAAACAATGAACCTTTTCTGTCCAGATTAACTAGTCTTTCAATCTGACCAAGTTTCTTGTAAACATTTCTTTATCAAACTGTCAAAAGCAAAGAAAATTAAATTCTTGAGCATTTACAGAAGCGATTAAGACAATTGATATAAAAGTCTTCGAGTAGATCAAGAAACTCGTCGAGTTCAAAAGAAAAGAAAAGTCTCCTAAAAATGAAGATCCAAATCAGATACTCGAAAGAAGCTCAAGAAAAGTAAAGATGAAAAGTTGTAGATAAAATATGAAAATCATCTTTCAAGAGTCAATTAGACAACAAATTGTTTCCGAAAAATGTTTTCACAAGAAACTTGAAAAAAACAGAAAAAATCAGATTCCCTTCCCTGAAAGAAGCAAATATTTTTCAAACATTTTTCTTTGCTAAGGTTGAATATCGTGGTTTAACGGGCAGAATCAAGTTCACTGAAGGAGTTAGAGCAAGTGTTAAAATGGACTTGCTAAAGCTGCGTCAACATGATCTAGACAAGGTGAGTAAACAGAGTTTCATTGAGAATCCATTTTTATTAATTAACTCGGTAATGGAAAAAAATGTTTCCATTATAATGCAAATTGAATCAATCTGCATTTCATTGATAACATTGAATTTCGTTGCCTTTCTGTCTTCACTGTTACATTGAATAGCCATATTATGCTGTGAGCAACTTGTAATGAAATTGCCAATAAAAATGCTCAATATTTTTCAGCATTTCATTTCCATTTGTTTTCTATCCAATCAATTTTATCTTCTTCTTCTTCTTTTACCATCATTTTCCATCAATTGTTTGAAACCTAAAAGTTTACCTTTTATCATCAATCTATTGATTCTTCCGATTAACTTGATTCATTTTATATCAACACAAGATAATCTCTTATTCATTTCAATTCATTCCCTGAAAGAAAACAAAAGACAATGAAATGAACATGGAATGTGCAGAAAGAAGGAAAAAGTTACTTTTGCAAATCACTTTTAAAGCTCAACAATTTTGAATAGTTTCAAGTTATCAACCAAAATGACTCATTATTGTTGTGATAAACATTCAATACTTGAATAGTATTTCACTTTTTTATTGCATTACGATCAATCTTTTCATGTCATTCATTTTGGGTTTACAATTTTCCAAATCACAAGAAATAATTTTCATGTTCATGGAGAAAGGTTGATTTTCTTTGGAAGTTTTGTTTCAAAGATGCATTTTTAAAGCGAGATTTATTCATTTTGCATTTTGCCTTTCATGGAGAAATGTGAAGAAAAACGTTTTATTGGAAACAAAAAAGTTTAGATTAAAAAAAAGGAAGAGAAAAAAGGAAATTGAATTGGATGATTAAATGTTTCCATGAGATATTCATTATCAAACCATACCATGACTCGATATCAGTCATGATGAATTATCCCTTGTTTATCAATAAAAATTTTCCTTCTTATTTTAACCCTTCTTGAGCTATTTTGTTCCACGTCTCTTTAGCCATCTATCATTCTCGTCATCAGCATTATAAACAACTAAATTTCTGGTACAATAGGAGAGAAGCAAAAGCTGATCGATCAACCAGGACAATCATTTATCAGACCTTACATTGTCCAACTTTTCAATCACAAATCTGCATTTCATTCGCCAAAATTTTCACTCTAATGTTAGGTTACTCTTGATTATCCATCTGCTAGAGATCGTGTCAAACAAGTCACAGTAAATTGCGACACAAACCCTAATTAGCACACTTATCGAAGAGGGGAAAGAAGAAGAAATGGAAATGATCAGAACACCAAGAGTTAGACGAAATTTGCAAAAAATGAGCAAGAAATGTTACTTTTAACAGCTCTGTGCTAACCAACTCCAAAAAGCCAGTAATGGTTTCTAAATACAATACAAATTTTAGTGTTCTTTGAGTATTTTCAGTGAAGATGACTCGTGAAGTTGATTAGACGATCGAAAATTTTTTCAATGAATTTGATTCTAAGGGCAGTAAATGCAAGAAAACGCCGAAATTTAAAAATGTGATATTGATACAGTTCTTGGCATCTTGATGAGATACAAAAAATGCAGAAAACACTGAAATTAGCGAAAAATATTTCCTTTACCTTTCCATAGCGAAAATCAGATTCAGCACTGATAGTTATCGAGATATGGCTCAAAACACGAAAAAATTGAAAAATCTTGAAAATTAAAACGCTAGAAATAGAATCACTAACGCTCCGATTTCGGCATTTTCATGTTGACACTTTATTTCTCTTTCGCTTTGCTTCTTCCATTCTTGCACCCCGTCCTAGAACAGTGGGTTGCTTATAGTCTAGTGCCGCAAGTCTTTACAATGTTTTTCAAAGTAACTGTTATTTAGGAAAAAGTAACTTTCGATTTTCAATTTTATCGATTTATGAACGATTCAACAAGAATGGATTTAACAAGACCACAACTCATGAATTTTCATTTTTATCAATTTCTTTTCTTTACTATTCAGGTTGGTGAATGGACCAACACTGGCGGACTAAATATAACCAATGCTGAAGCTTTTCACGAGTTTGGTACGACAAATATAACCCTTCGAGTGACCACAATTGAGGTAAATAACTATTAATTATTTTGAAAAAGAAGCAAAGTAAACTTTCTTTTCTCACCAAATACCTTCTTCATTACAAATGGCTTGAATTTACGTTTCACTTGAATTCCGTTTCCGACAAGTTGAATGGCGAGAAAGAGCAAAAAGGATTTACCAGAAATCACAATCATTCAATATCAACTGAATTTGATATTTACATTAAAGAAAAGTTAATCAAGTTTGAAAACTCAGGAAATTGTATCTTGTTTTTTTTCTTCTTTTTCTTTACTTCTTTCTTTTTCTGTTATTCACAAGTTGTAACATGATGATGATGAACTGGAATGAAAAGTAATTACAGATTTAATACGGAAATTGGAATGAACACTTTGCTTAACACCAATTTTTGGTCTTTACAATTAGATTTAAATGTTTTTGCCAGACAAACTGCAATCCATAACAAATAGCATGGAAAAAAGGAACGAAGAAGAAAAAAATTGCTTTTCTTTTGCTTAATTTTCGTTCTTCAACCCACTTTAGCTTCTTTGCTTCTCAATTATTCTCATATTGAATCCGAGTTTTTATCCCATGATGATTCAGGAAATACCTTATTTGATGAGAAAAAAGGATTCCAATTTAACTGGTAATGATCGTTACGAAGGATTTTGCATTGATTTATTACAATCAATTGCTGAAGCTCTTGACTTTCATTATGAACTTCATCTGGTTCCTGATGGTAAATTTGGAGCTCAAGATACAACCACCAAGGAATGGAATGGATTGGTTAGAGAACTCATGGATAAGGTAACAATTTTCGAATTCTTTTTTTCCAACTTTTTTTCTTCTCCGAACAAAACAGTTTCTTAAACTGAATCACATTTCATTATCGATGTCAAAACTTGAATAACTTGCACCGACTGTGGTTAAACTGACAACATTTAACCGATAATGATAATAGTAATGATAATGGTTGAAACGATTATCATTTTGTAAGAGAAACATTTTCTAAGAAAAAGGTTGAAAAATGAGGAAAAATATCAACAATTTTTTTCGTTTCTTTCCTTCAATCGAAAATCATTTTTCTTCTTCTCTTTAAAATCAACTTTCTGTTTCATGTTGTTCCATTATTATCATCATTATTTTAACAATCTTGAACTTGGTGAAATGACATTTTTCCAAAATTTTGAATTCCATCAAAGTTGCTCTTTTACATCAAGTTTCATTTTGAGCAGGAAAATTGGATGACATTTTGATGAAAAAATATTTTCTCGAAGTTGATCGAGTTGAACTTGCATGTTGATAGGAAGTGCATTGACTGTTCATCAACAATTGGACAGTTTGTGTCCATTGAAATGTCTTTTAACATTTTCTTGTTTTCCCTCGTTTCATGTAGAAAGCTGATTTAGCTGTGGCTCCAATGACAATCACTTATACTCGTGAATCTGTCATTGACTTTACTAAGCCTTTTATGAATCTTGGCATTGGAATTTTGTTTAAAATTCCGTCCAACATGCCGACTCGATTGTTCTCCTTCATGAGTCCTTTGGCTGTTGATATATGGCTCTATGTTTTAGCTGCTTACATTTTGGTCTCTTCAACGTTGTTTATTGTTGCCCGTTTCAGTCCCTACGAGTGGACCAATCCACATCCCTGTGCCCGTGACTCTGATGTCATTGAGAACCAGTTTAGCCTTGCAGACAGCTTCTGGTTCACTGTTGTTACCCTTATGAAACAAGGTTGTGACCTTAATCCAAGAGCTGTTTCAACCCGAATTATTGGTGCCATTTGGTGGTTTTTTACGCTCATTTTGATATCTTCTTATACGGCCAATTTAGCTGCCTTTCTTACCGTTGAACGAATGGTGACCCCAATTGAGTCTGTAGAAGATCTTGCTTCTCAACAAAAGATTGCCTATGGAACACTCGAAGGTGGATCAACCATGACATTTTTCAGGGTAAACAATCTAATCCAATCTAAAGTAAAGCAAAGACGCGAATTAACAAGTCAAGTCTTTATGACCAACTGATTCTGTCAAATACAAAACTAAAAAAATTCCGATTCGCTTGAAAACTCTTTCAACAAAAGATTTTTCCAATCGAGTTTAGATGGAAATCTATCGACAGAAAATAAGCTTTCTAAAAACGATTAAACATCTTTCCAAACTTTTCATTATGAGCAATAATTTTCTTGAAAATCGAAAATGTTAATTTGGAAATTCCAAGTTTTGATGCTTGACACTTGTCAATGTGCTAGACTCAAATTTGATAGCTTTTGCCATTAGTAATCATATTAGATTTCACCATTCAAGTGAAGTTTTGAGAAGAGCTTTGATGAAGATTTATTTTTCTGAACAATTGTTATGATAATGTGCTTAATTGGTATCGATCTTTTCAATCAATGTCACTCATTGATTTTCCCTTCCCTTCCAATCCCATTCCATCTCTGCAGGACTCCAAAATCCCGACTTATCAGAAAATGTGGCGTTACATGGAAAACAATCCTCACGTTTTTGTGAAAAGTTACTCAGAGGGAGTTGAACGAGTTTTACAAGGAAATTACGCTTTTCTCATGGAATCCACAATGTTGGATTATAAAGTCCAACGAGATTGCAATCTAACTCAAGTCGGAGGTCTTTTAGACTCAAAGGGCTACGGAATAGCAACACCAATGGGTAATATCAAATTTCAATTCAAAGTTCGAAAAAAATTCTCAATCCCTTGCACTGTCGACAAAACACAAGTACAACTTTTCCTCCCAGTCAATGCTACACGGTGTTAAGAAAGTTTATGCTCAATTTTGGGGGAAAAAACATAATTTTCTGTTTCTACGCAATGGAGGGATATTTTTTCCCCTACATAAACTTTCTTAACACCCTATATATCATCAGAAGAAGATAAAGTAGAAAAGTTTTCTTCAAATATTCATTTCTAAGTCAATAGTTGATCAATATTTTCCACTTTTTAATCATAATATTTTCAAATCACTCGAAGCAAAATGAGCGAGCAAAACTTACTTCTCTTGGCGTCAAAGTACAAACACTTTTACCTTAAATGAAGCAAAGTAAAAGTTGACTTTTATATTTTATTTTTCATTACAAACTACTTTTATTGTGATTATTTTTCCTATTATCAACTATTAATATTATCATTTGTGTTATCAACTTTTTGTTTTAATGTTATTTTTCCTTCTACCAATTGCAGTGTGCAATAATAATTGAAAAGTTTACTCAATATTCAAATTCGGTATAATTCACATTTAATGACTTTTGCTCGAAGCAGTTTTCCTCTGTACCTTTGCTTGTCATGAATTATTATTTTTTTTCATTTTCATGTTGCTACTTTCAGACATTTATCCAAAGATTTTCCATCTTTGCTTTTATTTAGTTTTCTTTATTTGCTTTTTTTGGGTGAAAAGTGAACTTGTCTCTGTAATTTTTATGGTAAACCTTTTTCCTCTCATTTTCATACGTTTTTCCGTTTTCTTTTTTTCTTCTGAAACAGGTTCTCCTTGGAGAGACAGAATTTCCTTGGCAATATTAGACCTTCAGGAGAAGGGAATTATTCAAATGTTGTATGATAAATGGTGGAAAAGTCCAGGGTTGACTTGTATTCGAGATGAGATGAAAAACAAAGATGGTAAAGCAAGTGCCCTTGGCTTAGATAATATTGGAGGTGTTTTCGTTGTTCTCCTTTTCGGCCTTGCATTAGCCTTAATTACTGCTGTGGGGGAATTTTTTTGGAACTCAAGGAAGAATACCAAAGCTACCAGGGTAAATATTGGTTCATTAATCATTCAAACAATCAACATTTGATATTCAATCTCAAACCAAGATTCCGGCAAAGATACTTTCATAATTTCATTGAATCTAAAAAATCAAATCTACCAAATCTAAAGTTGAATAAAAATTGTCCAAGTCAACTTTTGGTTCAATCTTGATGAACCTTTGGATTAGCTTAGAGATTGAGAGAGCTTCATTTCTTGAGAATAGCATGAAATTTCTCAGAAGTTCATTATTTCTTATTTCTTGGAAATAAAATATTCACTCCAAATGAGTATCAAAGTGAGCGTGAAATTGAATGCTTTGCCAAATCTTGTAAAATTGCGTTATAACTGGAAGATTAAAATTGAAACCAAACTCAATTTGACTAAAGTGATAAACTCGAGTGTATCTTGGTTTTGGTTTGTGTTTTTTTTACTTTTTACTTCTTTCGATATATTTTTTTCATCAATCTTTTAAGCTTTGAACAAACATTTGTTAAGAGTCTCAACTCGAAAAACCAAACATTATTAGCGACTGCAATCTGTTGTCTGGTCTTAAGTCTCTGGCCTCAATCAATTCAACCTGGAAATGTGACTCTATTAGCAATTCAATCGTTAAAAGATTGAAGATTGTAAGGCAAAGTTGGAAACACAATTTGATGTGATAAAATGGTGAATTTGTGATTCAGAATTTAAGATTTTTATTTGGTTCCAATGAAAATCTCACTAGTTGAAACCTTAACGTCCATTAAGACTGTCCATTCATCCTTTGCCTTTTGCTTTTTCACCTAATAATAACCTTGACATGGTAATAATGATTTAATCAGCATCTGATTGATTAATCTGTTCATCATTACACATCTCTAGCATCATTTATATTCAACTATTATTATCAATGATATCAGGAGGACATCTTAATGATAATATCATTTAATTAAATATATCTTTTCATGTCAACTTGTTGACAGCATCAACATGCACTTGCTTCCACTGTTAATAATAAAAGTCATAATAATGTAAATAATAACGACAATAGCAATATTAATAGTACAAGTAATATTAATGATAACATGGATTGATTGTTGCTTTATGCAAAGGCAGAGTTACATTTTGACATCCAAAAAAAAGCAGAGTTGCTCTTGTGTTTGCTGTTGACTTTTCATTCTTGGACAAGAGTTGAAATCAAGTTGAATATTTATTTTGGATGAATGTTGATGAAATGGAAAAGAAGTCACAAAATAATATCCAGTGGACATCATGATCCATGACCAATGAAACCGTCAACCAGTTTCAACAGAAGCAACAAAAGATGTCAGTCAAGGGAAGAAATGGTTAGATCAATGACGACTTTCATCTTGCCCAAAGCCTTATGTATTATAATGGACTGCCAATGTCTGCCAAATCTAATTACTTGGTAAACTAACTGAGAAATGATCAACTTGGAATTAAAGGGGAAAAGGAGGAAGATGGAGAAGAAGAGGAAGAAGAAGAGTGAAAAATATATCAACAAGAATCAGGTCACCAATAGATGTATCAGTAGATTTGATTCACTCAGTTCTCATCAATTCTGAAGTTGGATATTCGTCCAGGAAAAAAAAGAGACAAGTCCAAGGGAAGGCAAAAAGGACCGAATGACTTTTATTCAAGATAATGATAAACCTTTCTCAGCAATTCTCATTGAAAGATTATCATTATTTTTATCATCATTATCTGGTATAACCAATGAGAAACCAGTAAAATACAAATCCATTGCTATAATAATGATGATAATAATGAATTATTGAGCTAAGTCAATATTAATGTTCGATTTTTTAGCTTCCATTGTAAACAGTCAAAGTTGATTAGATTCTGATAAATTTCTGATTTTTGCCTGAAAATCTTTAACTTCAGACTCGCATTCAGTACATTGGAGTCAACTATGAAAAAGATGCAAAAGCAACTTATCAAGTTGATCGCTTGATGACTGACTGAGCAAAAAAAGTTAGTTTCTGGTTTCTGGTTATTCAATTTGTCCATCAATACTGTCTGACTAAAGCAAAATATCGTTGACATTAAACAAGGCAAGTGATGGAAATAGTACGGTTAGAATCGAATGGAATTTTATTGAAATTTTGGAAATAGAAGTTCGACAAGAAAAATTTCTATTCGAAATCAGCTTCGCCAGAGAAACATAAAACTTAGCATCTTAAATCGCCAATCTGAATGTATCTTTATCAGGTTTAGCAGCGTCTCCACGACTTCATGGAAGCAACCAAATTAGAACCGAATCTGAATCGAGATTAAAGATTCATGTAAGAAGTTCTCAGCTCCTTTTTTTGCTCTACTTTGATGGCAATGAAGGCTTAATGCTTAATAAAATGGTGTGAATTAAATTCATATTTGTCTCTATTCATTTACTCATTTGCCATAAGATGTTGGAGTTGATTTGATTGTAATCTAAATTTAATTTACCTTGATTAACTAAGGTTAAAAAAGGTTTATTGACTTACACACCAGAATCATCTTTAACCCATTTGCATAGATTATGTCAAAAATGATAAAAACTTGTAACTATGAAAATCTCATCAATCATTTAGTTGATGACAAAAAATGCTCATAAACAGTTGAACATGCTAATTATAAAATGATAATTTATCGATCGTTTCATGTTCAACTGATTTTGTCATGATATGAATGGTTCTCATTTGTTTCTCAAATGTTGATTTAAATGCATCTAAATGATATTTGGTTATTAATCGTTTTTTTGTCTTGTTTTGTTTTTAGCAATCATTTTGCTCTGAAATGGCTGAAGAATTGCGTTTTGCTGTCAAATGTCGAGCTTCCCGTCAAAGGCCAGTTCTGAAGCGTCAATGTTCAAACTGTTTTGTTGCCCCAACTTACGTGCCTAATGGTTCAGAGCAGCCAATTCATGAGAATGGGATTCTTCATGGTTTATATGATCTAAACAAATCAACTTCCCTGGAATATCATGAGACTTGAGAAACTTGGAGATTAAGAAATGTAAAGAAATGAAAGAAGACTGAAGAAGGAATAAAATTTTTCTATAAAACAAATGTATATATTTATATTCTTATTCATGGAAAGTTAGAGGAGAAAATAATTCCAATAAAAAAGGGTTAAATTGAATAAGAAATGTTTTATTTGCTCAGTTATCATAGTGATCTTTTCATTTTTTCATCTTCTTCTTCATCTTCTTTCTTTCTCCATGATAAAAACTTGGATCCAGGGGAAAGGAAAGGCTTTGCTATTGATAAATGAACCAAAAAATGCTGTTACTATAAATATAAAGAAAATAAAACATGACAATTATTGATAAACCGATCATCATTGTTTGTTAACATTGTTTTCAAGATGCTTTTGTGTTATTATACGGTTGATGAACGTTAACCAAACCAAAATCAAAACAGACTTTTTTTGTTCCTTTTTTGTCTGCTAATAAAGTATTTCAATAAAGTTTTCATTGTGATTGATTAACAGTAAAAATCTGAAGGTATAACAAAATTAAAAGGCACTTTCAACCATTCAGAATAAGTTGAGTTATTAATTTCCAGGTTCAATGTTAACCTAAAAGGGAGAGTTGAACGTTTCGGGTTGCTTTAGTTAAAGTTGATTGAGCAAACTATTAATACTATCCAATATTGACACTAAATAATGTTAGTTGGGTGAAGTATTTGATTTAAAAACAGCTGGAAATAATTAAAAAGAACTGAGTTGATCTTAATTGATGGCTACCAATTTTTTGTGTTGATAATTAATCACTGAAATCACTTTTATTACCGAGTAGCCAGTATTTAGCATCAGGTAATACTTTTTCTAGTCACAAGATGGCTCAAGCTTGGAGACCAGTTGTTACTGGTAACCGGTTATTTGTAACTGGGGGTGAAGGAACCACAGTTACTGGTTATACTGATAAAACTAGCGTGTAACCAATGTAAGCTGATGCTGTAATGCTGAATGTTTTGGTTTTGATTTTGTTGATGGATTAAGTTTGTTTACATTTTTATCGTAATTGTTTTGTGATTTCAACAATTTAATAATGTTAACTTTGCGACAATTGCGCAGCTTTTGCTCTAATGCTCCTCTAATTTTACCAAGAGAGTTTAAACTTCGTCATTCGGATATTTTTAATGAGCAAATTACTCCAATCAAAGAATCATGGTTGTACAATTTTGACACTACTCTTCCTGTGAAACTAGGTTTGGTCCAGCTGCACCCAAGGATATTCTCAGCGTTTCCGAATCCACAAATGATTGCTACTAATGTTTCTTGGCAGCAAAAATATAGAACAATTGACTGGTTAAAGATGAAAACTAAGGCAGAGTTTCGTACGCTAAATAAAAAGCCATGGCCACAAAAAGGAACGGGAAGAGCTCGACATGGTAGTCGTAGAACTGCTCAGTTTACTACTGGTGGATGGGTTAATGGACCTCGTGGACCAAAGACTGGATTTTTCATGGTCCCTTTTTATACTCGAGTTCATGGATTAATTTCAACGTTATCAGTTAAATTTGCGCAAAATGATATCAAAATTGTGGATACGCTGACATCATTTCCCTCCGATGATCCCAAATTTTTGACCGATATGATGAGCACCAGAGGTTGGGGACCTTCTACCCTGATCGTAGATACAACAGATATTTTTCCTAAAAATATTGCCCTCTCTGCTCATGGAGTCGAGTATATCAATATCAGTTAAATTTGCGCAAAATGATATCAAAATTGTGGATACGCTGACATCATTTCCCTCAGATGATCCCAAATTTTTGACCGATATGATGAGCACCAGAGGTTGGGGACCTTCTACCCTGATCGTAGATACAACAGATATTTTTCCTAAAAATATTGCCCTCTCTGCTCATGGAGTCGAGTATATCAATTGCATGCCATTGTATGGTTTAAATGTTTTCTCGATGCTTAATTGACGCGTATCGTAGCACCGGGCTTAATAATGAGAATGTTACTCTTAAAGGCACAATTTTGTGACAATAGAGGCACCTCTGAATAATAAGCAATGCTTTTTCGCGCATTTGCAGTGGCTCAAAAGGCGCTTATATGATGGCGTACTTTTTTATAAGCACGGCGCCACGATACGCGTCAATACGGTAATTAAATTAGTTGTAATATTAGTTAACTTTAAATTTTGCTTTTTGTTTTACATTGAATAACATTTATAACATCAATAATCAATTATTGATTTTGTACTATCAAGCTGATAGGAATTGATTGAAATAGTGAACATGAAAAATAAAGGAAAATTGATTAGCTAAAAAAAGAATCAATGCATTTATTTTCATTGATTTTGGTTCATTTCTTTCCTTTCTTTTCAACTCAACTCTATTTATAAATGATAGTAAGAATGATTTACAAGGAGACAAAAAAATTCAATGTACATGATTAGTATTTTTGAAACAATACTTGATGTTGATTAAGAGAAACAATAATTTAAGTTAGAATCTTTTTAAACCGAATTTTCTGAACAGATGCTAAAATGATTGAGTTGATGTTGTAATAACAAAAAATACAATATTTTTACAATAAATTGTTTAAACAATTTAATAACATGTAATTGAGTTCAAGTTCCATGATTGAAATTGGAATTAGATCCAATTGTAGTCAATCCATTTAATTATCCAAAATCATCTTCATGGCCAAATCGATGATAAAAATCAACATTTTACAACTTTCTCTATTTACTGGCCAAAAGATCGCATTTTTGAAACATAAATGGTCATGGTTTTCTAGAATTTCCTTTGTCTCCAAAGTTTATCATAAATAATTTGAAGTAGAATTGATGAATGTGTGACTTTAAACGACAGCATAATATTTAGGCATGGACTGTCTTTGAGATGCAAAATTTCAGTTAGTTAAAAAGAACTGAATCAGGATCCTCATTAGATAATTGTTTTATATGACGTAGAACATCTTTCTTTGTAATGATTCCTAAGAGACGTCTGCAATGAAAATGATGAAAAATAAATAAATGATAATTGAAATTTTATGCTTATTTGTTTTCTATAAGATAGAACAAACAGTTGTAGAACAAATTTGAAAACTGAAATCTGTATTGTACATGTAATTGATCAGATATGAACTAACTTATAGAAAACAAGATTCATTGGATGATTTAAATGTTTATCTTACCCATTATGTGTAACTAAAACTTGGCGAAGACCAAGTTTTCTAAACATATCAATAACAGTTTCCATTGGTGTCTGATCGGTGATTGTAATGGGAGCGAAATCAACGATTCGTTTTAAATTAAGAGGTTGAGGAATACCATCACCACCAGGAAAGATGTCAGTGTTACCGCTGAAAAAGACTCGAGTATTTTCATAGAGTTCGGTTGTTCGCTTAGCACTGATTAAAGCTATTTGTAGATCTTTTCGCAGCACAAAACCAACCAAATATTGTGACTCGCGAGAAACCACTACAGGATAACCATTATGATGTGAATTTCGTAATAAACTATCTAAATCATCAACTGTCATTGAATCTTGCGTTAGAAGAACTAAAGGTGGATCATTTCGTAATGGCTTCATACAATCAGCTGCAAGCGTAGTGTAGGAAAACTCCTCTTTACTGTCCAAAAATGGATACCCGTTCAAATTGATATGAGCATCATAAATACCCTCTTTACCAAGCGCATCACCGACCCATTTGGAGGCCATCACAGCAGACATTAAAGGAACAATGAAATTAACACTTCCAGTTAGCTCAAACATTATCACAACCAGCGACACTGTCATTCTGGTAACACCCCCAAGGCACGCTGCTGCACCAACCATAGCATAAATGCCCGGTGTCATGCAATTAATTCCAGTTGAACAGGCTCCACCAAATATCCATAATTTTGGATATTGGAAAGCGATCTGTTCCATAACTATACCCACAACACGGCCAAGGATAGCACCCATACACATGGAAGGAATGAAAAGACCGGTTGGAATTTTGATACCGAAAGTAAATACTGTGATAACCAATTTAAATATCAAAGCAAGAACGAGTAAGTAGATAGACTTATAAACACCGGGACCAGCCTCGGCATTGTTGGATAATTTTTTGTTGACATTGGTAAAATTTCGTTTATAATCACAAAGATCTGAAGCATCTGCAATTCCACATTGTGAAAACAAAATACGAATGAGATCTGATGAATCCATACGGGTAAATTCATTTGGAAAAGAAAGCATAGCTGTAACTAAAGCCACAACCAAAACTTCTGCGATTGGATATTGTCCTAATTTAGACTCTTTTCGGTGTTTACACCATCGTATATTAGCCCTGATAAAAAGAGTTCCAATGACACCACCACATATACCAAGAAAAATGAATGGAATCAATTCAAAGAGAACCCAGGGGCGTGTATAATCAACATAAAACTTCACTAGATGTTCATTGCCAAATGGGTTGATACCACGAAGAACAAAAGCTGCTATTAAAGCACAAAAAAATGATCGCCAAAGAGTTTTGAGAGGAAAATAATAGGAAACCTCTTCTAAACTGAAAAGTACTCCACCAATTGGTGCACCAAAAGCAACCGAAACACCAGCAGCCGAAGCTGCCGATAAGATTTCTCTCTTTTTTGCTTCATTTTTGCCATACTTGGAGAAACATGGCCAATGGCTGATGAAATTTCCAATGCAACATGAAACGTGAACCAAAGGACCTTCTTTACCCAAACTTAAACCTGATGCGGTTACTAACATTAAACAAATTGATTTTATAATGAGTGTCCATTTACCCAAATATCCTCGAATGATGAACCCAGATAAAATAGTTTTAATTTCAGGAATACCAGACCCACAGGCATAAGGAGCAAATGTTTGCACTAAAAGAGCAGCTAGCCCAGAGAAGAAAACACTCCACAGGATGTAAATGATATAAGATACAAAGGAATAACCAAATCCACTTGCTCTGGCGATTCCCAACAATTGTGGCCATGTTTTCCATTGGGCACAGTTATAATTTTCTAAAACAGTGTCATTTGATGACCAACAACATTGTTCACGATTAAGATAAAAAGCTTCTGGGCAGATGCCATCTTTAAGATCTTTCATCCAACCGGCTCCAATATCGATAACTCCGGCAACGTTTCCAGCAAGGATACCAACAAGTGAAACACACAGCCAGCCAGCCCATGCATCATGTTTAGAACGGAAAGATTCAAGTAACGATTCCTTTTTTCTGCGGACTATAGAACGATGTCTGTTTCTGTCTCGTGCAATGTCCCGTTGCCAATCAATTGTGTGAAAATCATCGTATTGTCCAATACCAAAAAGCTCGGTATCCAAATCTTGAAAAGAAATGAAAAATGGAAAAGGTTGAGCTCAATGTAAGGGATAGCGGATGGACAAATAAGGTTAAAATATGCAAAGTAGAAGACATTAGAATTGAATAAATAGATATTTCTATGTTATGTCAACTATCAATTAGATTGAGAAATAATGATCATTTCCAACCTTTGGTACCCGATTTAAGGAAACAATCAAGTTCAGTTGTATCTTCACCATTCTCGGAACTTGATGATAATTCACATAGTTTACGGGAAGAGGAGGAGGACAACATACCTTTATCCATCCTCAATCCTCTTTAAACGAGTATTTACACTAAATATATTTAACGACACAATTGTAACATATAGAAAGTCACAATTAGAAGATGTAAGACGCAGGTAGCATACGTAGAAGTTGACAACTGTAAACCAAGACAAACCCACCAAAAGAAACGGCACGGTTAAGCAAGTACAGATCAGTAATAGAGTGACGGAAAAAAATGGAGTGTTGAAGCAAACAAATAAAAGGGAAAATTGAAAGAAAATAGCAGAAAAAATGGGTAAATTAAAGAGATGAAAAAGCACAGGACAGGTTAGATTAAGTTAAGGTTGAATCAAAAATTGAGGTAGAGAGACGAGAAAAAAAAGATTTGCATGCAAGTGAGACCAGAAATTGACAAGGAAATACGTAGAGAGACGTGGAGGTCGATAAAATGTAAAATAAATACAAAATCAGGGTGAAGAGAAAGCGATTAATAACAGTTGTTAGGAATAAAGCTGAAATATGCCACACTCTATGGAATTGTGTCCTTCCTATCTTTACAAGCTTCACCAATGTTAGTTATGTTTCACATAGAAGGGTAACACAAATAAAGGAAACATACAAAAGAAAGAAGATGATTGTCAGGTTGATTACAAAATCAACGTATGTTGAACATCATTGATTGCTAAAAAAATAAATAAAACCCAATTTAATTATAAAATAAAAGATGGTACTGATTTAAATAGAAAATAAATGGAAAAGTGACATTAGAAGCTGATGTTGCTAGTAAGAAACATCAAACCGAATCACTTCAAGATGCTGGTCACACCTCACAGTGATCCAATGGAGAATGAAGAGCCAAATTTAAATAATGAAACGTACAATGAATTTTTCATTTAAAAATTGAAATAAATCTACAAAAATTAAATCAACAAGCAGAAACAGTAATAAAATAATTAACAAGCTTACCATCAAAATCTCCATAAAATGAGTCCGCTCGCAGTTTCTTTAGTCTAGAGGAAACATAAAGATTTAGACGACTAATTGAAGTCGTGGTGACCATTGTACAAATTATATCCTGACCAGTCCGTTAATCTACAATTTAAACAATCAGTACCAAAACCTTAAACGTTGTCTAGACACTATTCAAAATAAACAATAAAATTATACATAGCAATTCAATGTTCACTGTTTAATGTTGCCAACAAATATGAAAACAACCCTAATGACTTCAATAGATTATCATTTCCATTCAACACCAATTATCCCACCTCAACTGATAAACATCTATTATAACTAAATAGCCTCCCATAAAAGCGATGGGCTGATTGTTTGTAGTGATTCCAATTTAAATCAGATGGTTCAAAATTAAAGATAGCACGAGAAGGGATTGGTGCAAACGAGATAAAGGCCAACTTTCGAATCGCAAAAACGGTGGATTTGTTAGTAAGACGAAAAGGTGAGAAAATTTTGAGAAATGAAAGTTAATGAATCATTTTTATTTCTTATTGAGATTGCTTTTCTTGGAGATTCACAAGTTAGCTTCAAATCAATTTCAGACTCATACTTCATCGTAAAGTCTAGAGACAGCAGATTTTCCAGTTCGATCCTCAGGTTGGAAAAAGATGAAAAGATCAAGCATAAGGTAGAATGGAAATAATAAGATTGATCGGTAGGTCAAAGGAATGAAGAAAATGTAAAAATATAAACCATTAAACGACTAAGTGCATGATAACCACTAGGTTATTGGAGCTGTTATTTTTTATATCACAATGATTGAATGTTACACACAAATATTACAATATTTATCGTACACTGACGAGATAATGCTATTTAACACATTTGAGTAGGAAAAGTGAAAAATAAAATTGACTGTAATTGATGAACAGTGAGGTAAAGCTTCAATCTTTTTGTTGAAATTGAAATCAAAATCTCACAAGTGAGACCGATGTCAACCATGGCCAGCAAGTCGAGTCTCAATTATCACTTTTGCTGTTTAAATGAGTTACACTCCATTTTACCAGTTTTTAGGTAAAGCCATGGTTTAAATTATTTAATATTTTATTTTATTTTATTCATATTTTAATGAATGCCACTCTTGGGTTTATCTATCCATTAAAAATGTTGATACCGATCTTTTGTCCATTACTTTTTAAAGACCATTCTCAATCAGATTGTCCAATGCTTTTTGAATGACCAATATCGACTTCCCGATGAGTGATTGAAAAAAAGGTGAAAAAGGTGATGGATAAAGTGATGGATGGTCCCATACTGTCATCATTTTAATTTCTTGATCGTTTTATATCAATTATTATTATTTTCCAGGCTAGTGGTGAAACCTATTATCCGTTGTTTAAAGATGAAAGTATCCACATGGTAAAGTTTAAGACTTCCATTGGACATTTTAAAGATCCATACTAGATAAAGTAGTTAACAGACACTCAATTAACTGACAGAAAGGTAATCAAGTCGATTAAGGCTGACTAAAGTCGACTTTAGTCGTATTAGTGTTTCACGGTTTTTAAAAAATTTACAGTAAGTTACCAAGTAATTGTCAGTAGATTATTCAACAGTCCCTCAACCTATTTGTTTACATAGATTACACATTTATTGTACATTGTATTTGATAAAATATGTTACTTTCACATTAAATAGCACTTGCCGTGTAAATAAGCTATTTCCAGTTACTGACATTATCTGGCAGATGACAGTATTTCAAGTGACAATTACTGTTAACTTAATGTATCGTTGAAAAGAATCGATATCAATATAAAGGTATTGAGCATTTAAAGAGTAAAAATTAATGGTTTTGCTCAGTGAGTAACTCTCAGGGTCTCTAGAAACAACTGAAAGCTCAATTTCTTCTCAATTCACTAATTCTTTGCCTGATAATTTTATCAAATTTGCTTTTTCGGCATCGAGCACTAAATCTAAAGTATCGATAAAAATATCAAAAGTAACAAGGAAAGTGCCCTTGCTTGTGAGATTGTTTTCAATTTTTTCGAGTTATATTTTAGAGGACGAAAAATAATTTTGCTTTTTTGTGTGCGGTTGATATTTAGCCATTTTAATTGCAGATATTAATGCATTTCAGTGACTGAGAAGCACATGAAACAAATGAAAAGCAGAAAATGAAAAATCTCAATGAAAATTGTGAATCCCTTTTGTGTGACTTCATTAGATTGCAATGCAATATCCTCACTTAAAATGCCTAAAAATCAATAATCGCGCACCAGCGTAAAAAAGGCAAAAATAAGTGTCTAATATTTTTCGTCCTCTTCAATAAAAACCAATATATTGAAAACAATTGTACAAGAAAGGGCACTTTCCTTGTAAGTCGAAGCAAAACAAGTTTAATGGCTAACATCAGCTAAGCGCAGTTGATTTTGGCACAAAATTGAAATTTTTGTGGGCTTGGGGTGAAAAATTTGATCAAATATTGTGGCTTGAACTTAATTGTCACTGTCTTGAGCGTTTTTAAAACAAAGGCAATTGATTTGAATTTTTAATTTTCATCTTTTATTATTATTTATTATGCAACAATTTAATTTTAATTACAATTCTCCTTTCATAAATTATTTTTGCTCTTCAAAGCTTTGCATTAGCAAATCTTAGTTTACTTTTTTTACCAATTTTAAATTTTTTTTTTGCTCAAATTTACTTTTGATTTATTTTCAATTTTCATATTTAATTTTATTAATTATTACATATTAATAGTCATTTTTTTCAATGGGTTTTAAAATGAATGTGAATGTGTATCTGTTTTGCTTCACTTCTTGGTATTGAATGTAATGAGATGAACAACAACAAAAAAAAGGTCATGATGCGATTCATTTTTTGATTTTTTCCAAAGGCTTTTATGTCTCATCGTTTGTTTCAAAGTAATTTATTAATTCCAAGTTTGATGAATATTTGATTCCTTAATATCTCTAGATTGATCATTTAGGTGCCATCAAAACATTAACAAACTCTGCAAAAAGACAAGAAAAATCATTAGTTGAATTCATATGGAAACAACTTCAAGGAAACCGTTTGACTGTAGAGAAGCTCAGGTTCAGCGGTTTTAGTGCCTCAATCACAAGTAGCCTCATGTGCAAATATAATTGATGTGGTGAAGAACCTGACACTGGAATGTCCTGAATGAGCATCATCACGATGATAATATTAGGAAAAGCGGTTTTTATTTTGTCCCCAAGAATCACTATGACATTTGCAGGGTCGTTTGGCATGATTTTTGTTGGAATTGGGGCGAAAAATATGAATAAAGGAAGATTTAAAAGCGTGAGGAGAAATCAAATTAACCTTTTCTTTTCTGGTTATAGTGATTTGTGCTTTGCGAAACGGAAGGAAGCGCCTTTTTACATAACTTTCTGGTCATCTTTCAATTGGCACAAGAATTCAATGCTAAGTGTAGCGTTTGGAAGCCTTACCTTGAGAGTCTATTCAATGGTAATGAATTCAGTCAAATAATATTGAATGGTTCTGATTAAATGAACTCTTTTTCTTACCATCATAATTGACCAAACCATCGCCATCCAGATCAGCCTCTTTAATCATATCTTCAACCTCTTCGTCGGTCAATTTTTCCCCTAAATTGGTCATAACGTGCCTTAACTCAGCAGCGTTGATAAAACCATCACCATTCCTGTCAAATACTCTAAAAGCTTCTCGAAGTTCCTCTTCTTTATCTGTTTCCTTCATTTTACGAGACATCATGTGAAGAAATTCATTGAATTCAATAGTTCCATTTCCTGGTTTACAAATGAAGAAAGCAGGGAAGAAGAGAAGGAAAAAAATATAAATTAAAAGAAAATTAATTCAAATGAAAATGTAAAAGGTTTTCATTAATTGAATGAGAAGCTTAAATTTTATGCAAAACTGGCAAGCTTCAAGTTAATCATCTTTCAACATTAAACCTTTTTACACCATTTCGATATATCTGAGCTGTTCGTATCAATGAATTGCTCGAAATATGGAAAACTTTTTATTCGTTATTCTAATGAAACATTTATTGACAATCCAAGAGATAATGTTAGCTGTAAAACAGTTCATTTCTAGAAATAAACTCAATGGCTAGGAGTTGAGTTTGTCAGGTAACTCTGCACTCCAATTCCAAGTACTCTATCCAAATCAATTCTGGTTATTAATTTCTGAAAAAAATCTCTTTTCTTCAACTTTCTCAGATGATAATTTTGGGTGAATCAAACCATTTGAGACTAATCTTTTGTGAAACCATCTTCGGAAGTAGTGGGTGACTTGCTATCACTTTCTGAATAAAAAACAAACTCCTACTTAATAGACAAAAGCAATCCAAGATTGAAGGCAAATTGAAAACAATTGAAAGCATCTCAAGTTATAATCATATCAAACCTTGACCAGCCAAAGGAATCAGGTAAAGCAATAAATTGCAATACATTGAGCATCATTAAACATCCAATGCATCTTGACCAGGATTACCTGGAAATGTCAACAACTTTAATAATTCAGGTAAAATTTTCACCAAAAAAACTCCACACACAAAAAACTAAAGGAAAAATTTTGAAATCAAATTTTGACTTTTCAATTTTTGGTCCACTTTTCGTTCAATCATTAAGCTTTTTTACCTAAATATCGATTCTTTAATGCTTGAGAATCATAAGCTAGAGAAATGATGAAAGAAGGAAAATTTGTATCACTTTCACTTGTATCTTGTATTTAATATGTAATGGGCTAAAAGATTACCAATTGTTAATGCTTTACAAGTTTACATCTATTAATCAACATGAGCTAATCATTGTGTACTGTAAATGAGCAGGATTAACGGAAATTTATATCCAAATAGAAATGAGGAAAAATGATTAATTTTGCTTATTCCTCTTGTTATTGGTTAAATGATCATCACTGTAATGAGAGAACATGACTTTCTAATAACATTAATCGGTGGAAATTTTTTTCCGGATCAAGTTTTCTTCTCCTCAGAACTTCTTTATTCCTTCATTCCATCAAGTTTATTCCTTGAATATAACACACACTCAGAAAAGCATAAATGTATGTTATATTGAATTCCGGTTGATCAGGTTAAAACCATTTCGCTTCAATAGCCATTTAGACCATTTCACTGTGTGTTCACATCAAATACTTGAGATTTACCAATTTAATTACAATCATCTTGATCGGCAATATTTACATATTTCATGTGATATTGATTAACAGTTTAATCAAGACTATCAAGTGAATAAATGACAGAATGACATTGAAACGATTAAAAACAAAAAGGCAACTTGACTACAGTTTTGGGTTAAAACCAGGAAAAAATATCAAAAGGTTTTGATGTTTCAATCAACTTTTGAAATATTTAATTTTACTCTTCACAATCAATCCATCAAAGCGTAAATAAGTTGATCAATGGCTATGGAAATGGTTTATAATTGTTGGTTTGGTTAATATTTTGGGTTCATGTTTTGCATTATCAATTTGAATTGAAAAGATGATTCTTGATGTTTCATTTGGCTTTTAAATTGTTCACATTATTCATGGTTACCACTGAGAAACGTGGTTGGAAATATTAATACGACTATTGAGAGTCATTATATTGTTATTAATATTGCCTTTTTTACAGTAAACCCATCAATGTGAATAGATAATAGAGAAACTTTCTTATTTACTCTTCAGTTGATGGTTTTTGATGATGATTTTGATGATAACATTGATGATATTGGAAACTCATGACATGGATTTGATGATGATGGGAGTTAGGATTTCAAGTCAATGAGTAAAATGTTTACAAATGATGATTTATTTGCTCTAAATATGTTGATTGTTGTTTTGTTTTCTGGTTAGAAATTCTGGTTTAATGTCTTTCTTCATCATCATCATCATTTCAATCCATGAGGTTGAATTAAAGATGTTTATTGTCAGTGAATCGATTCAGATATTTTTGTTTTCTTTTACCTGATCAAAGCAAAAAATGTAAAGGAAAAAAATGTTTTTACCTTTTTACCTTTTCTTTTCACAAAAATAATGTTAAAACATATATTTAGCCTTTTGGGAAGAAAATCTGAATCAGGCAATTTTCCTTTTCTTTCTTCATGATAACTTCATTTTCTTTAAAAAAAACTTGTCAAATTGAAATATCTGTATCAACAGAATGTTCATTTGAAAAAAGGTAAACTCACCAGAAACATGGTTTTTTGATTGAATAACAAATTTTCTGGTTAATGTTGTTAACCAATCAATACATATCTTGAGGTTATCAAATTACAATTGTCAGGTATAAGTTATTATAATCCAGACTTATCTCAAAGATTGAAGCTTTGAATAATGAGATTTGGCTTTTTTTGGGTTCTCAGTGAATTTGGGTTTTGTTTATGTTTCTGGAAACTGGTTTTTCTATTGTCTTTGGTTGAAAATTTGGTGATGTCTTGGGTGAACAATGAATTATCGAAACAAGGAGTAAACATTATCATTAAACAGGGAGAATGTTGAGCAATTTGGATTCATAAATTGTTCAATTTGGTGTAAAACAAGTTGAATAAGGAATCCAAATAACGTAAATAACGATTTAACCATTTAACTGGTAAAAAAAGACAGTTTGGCTTTTTGAATTAAGGGAAAACACTGGGAAGAGTAGAGTTGAGTAGGAAAACAAATTAGCCTTAAAATGAGAGAAACAAAAGTGAAGATGCAAAAAACAAACCAAATTATATGAACCATGAATATAATTGTACTGAATTTGTTAAGGGAAAGAGGTGAAAGCAATGGATGATTCTTGACTGAATTTTAGGTAACAAATCATTTTGGAAGCAAGAATGGCGTTCACAAGATGAACAATTGTACTTTTACTGGTTGCCTTTTTTTGGGTTTACCCAAAATCGTCAATGTAACTTCAATAATGAGAGTGATGAATGATAATCAGGAATAAAAAATAACACTGAACAATAATGAACAAATGGGTTATGGTAATGTGTAAATTGACAAATGGGTAAACAAAGCAATTAACATTATTCCACATGACAATACACATTAAACTAGAGATGATCATCAACGTTAATAATTAACAAATAAACATGAAGACAATTAGCAAGAGACTTGGAGCAACAAAACTGTATATAAATATATGAGCTAATTTAATTATTGGTGAACAATTATTGCCTCTTTGCTTGGGAAAGTAAATGTTAACCCATTTCTGGTTATCGATGAAAATTGAACCCATTTTGGTGGAAGAATGTAAAAAACAATTTAACGCTAAATGTTCATTTATTTCTCGCGATTTATTCACTGATTAAATTACAAAAATTGTCACATGAATGGAAAAATTAGGCTTGGAATATAAATGATACAATTAGTTTCTCGACTGGCAACTTTCATGTCTAACTGGGAAAACTCACGAGATGTACCTAAAAGTGACTTTAATTAGACCAAATTTCATTCCAGTTTGTTGAGTTATTCATGACATTCTGAATTGATGAATCAAGAGTGATTCTTGAGATTTTTGGGTGAAAAATTTGACATTTCTATTGTAAAATCTTAAGTTTTTAGTGTCAAGATATGTCAAAATAGACAAAAGAGCGAAAACAAATTAAAATTATGTTCAAAGGGTTTTGTTATTTTTTAAAATTAAATGTTTTCCAGTGAAATTAGCTCTTGGGAAATGTATTTCATGGTTTTATTCAAGGATTTTACATGGGATTGATACAATATTTGCTTCTTTCGCGGTTGACTTTTAATTTCATCTGAATTTAAGGATAATTTTGGATTTCCCTCGTTTTAAAAAGACAATTAAATCTCTTGCTTTTTGACGATTGATAATTTTTTACGTAAGATGGCGATATTAGCAAAAAAGCTAAATTACGCGCAATTATTTACCGGTAACAGTTAACGTGATTTGATCAAGCTGGTTTTATTCAATTTATATGTTAAATTTGTCTTAATTTTGTCTCTGTATTAGTCTTTAATATGTTTCTAATTATGTTACCTGTGTCTAAATGTGTCTAAATGTATTTAATTTGAATGAAATTACTGCCAGCGAATCTACAGTCTATGGGTAAGTCAAGGGGTTGTCTGGATGACATTCATTTTGGTATGTATCTATTTAGATAGAGGATAACGAAAATTAATCTAATTGTTTAAATATTTGTCTCTTCAATTAGCTCTCGGCAGTGAGTTTCTTCATATTTGGATGGAGTCCTATTTCAATCAAAGTCAATCGATAAACCAAAAGTCAATGGGTAAAAATTTATTATTGAACAGACGACTTTCCATTTGCCTCCAAGAGAAAGTCTGAACTGGAAAATTCCTCTCATCATCACAAATTAATCAAATTATGGACAATCGGTGACCGGTTAATAATTGCCATTTAATCCAATCAAGTCAACGATGAAAGTTTTCTATCAGTTTGTTGGGAAAAGGAGTTACAAGTAAAGTTAATTTCGATGGTAAACTTGAAAAACGGAGGGAAACAGAAGACTAACAAGACATGAAACTTAATCAAGAGCAATAACTCTAATTTCGTGTCTTACAATAACTTCAATCCTATTATTTATACTTTTGATTTTTCTACCTTCGCTTCACACCAACGTTTCCATCAGCATCATCATCATGTTCTCATGAGATTCAACCCACAAACCCTGTTTTTTTTGGAAACTTATCTTCTGAGATATATAAAAATTATACTTTTCACCATTGATTAACTCTCTTCTTTCCAATCTCTGTAAGTATTTTCCTTTCCTTTCATCATCTTTTTTGTTTTCCTTCACCTTCTCACCCATATTCTTGATTATAGTTTTACAGTTAAATAGAGTAAGTGATCATCAACTAAATTGGAGCTCAAGGAAAAGAGAGAAGCAAGATGTGACAAAAGCCAGGCTGGACATGATCTCAATCCACAATGATTTGGTGACTCTGCTCATTGTAATCTATCTGCTTGCAATGTCAATCAATTGATAATCCTGAAACTGAAAGGCTTAAAGATTTTCATAACCTAAAGGAACATTAATTTAATGATTATACAGAAGACACAATCATCATTAGCAGAAGCAGAAGCAAAACATGTAACAAGGCAAAACAAGACATTAAGTTAACAACAATCTGTATCATTTTAACAAGTTTACCAATTTGTGTGCCTACAAAATATCAAATTTCAATCCATTATCACTCTCAAGCGACAACATTCATAATGATGATATCATTATACATCCAATAAGCAGATTTCCTGATTTCACGAAAGGGTGGAAAGGCAGAGAAGAAAAAAAATCAAATATAGTTCAAGTTACTCTCAATTCATCATTCTCTTTCTTCATCAGTATCATCATCATGTTTTTCAATATAGATTATGATTTACTATTAACGAAACGTAAGTTGACAAGTTTAATGCCTCCACTTTCATTGTAACTTGATAACTTGAACTTGTTCTGTAGTAAATCACAGGAATGAAACAAACAAGGCAACCTCAATGTTCACAATTTAGAAGCTTCACCAGCAGTTGATAAATCAGTCTGATGATCAAAATGAAATGAATCTTGAAAATGACTTATTCATCAAAATTACGAGAAACGAAGAAACCAGTTGATAAAGAAAAAAGAAGAATCAAAATGAATGAGAAATTTTGGTAATCTGAGAGTCAACTAACCATGGTATATAAATGGTATCTTCATTGGAAGAAGGAGGAGTAATCAATGGAAGACAATAAACAATAATCAAAGTGAATCAAGGAGGAGTTGAAATTGGAGGTGAGAAGTTGAAATGAAACAATGTTTTCCATCCGTCAAAATGAAAGTTATTTTCTGCTCTTCACACTTCTATCTTATTATCAAAGATAACCATTTTGATAACCTGAACGCAAAAATGGAATGATTGTAATAATGATTTGAAATGTTCGTTTTTTCTCAAAGCTCATTCATTTTTGGTAAATAACAAGGGATTCATCATCCAATAAATGTAATAATTTATCAATGTCAACAACATCTAAAAGTCCGTTTGTTACCTTTCATTTAGATGTTGTTGTCAATAACAAATAGTCTCTATTGACAGGTTATAAAAGTAGATGTTACCTGTTATCCAGTTGAATGTTTCTCTTTTTTGTTCGTTACTCAAACAAAAAGGTTAAACGTGTATTGTAAACTGAAACTTTGAATTTTATAGATTTTTTACTCTCAAAAAAGCCATTTATTCACTTTGATGAATCAGAAGGAAACAAAATTAATTTAAATTAGTTGAATTGTGTGTTGAAAACGGTAAACATTGGATCAATGATTAGCTTTCAAAACCTTTCCTTGACTTTTTTAACTTGATCAACAGTAAATGTTGAACTAAAGGTTTTCATTGACAAACTCAACATTGCTAATTGTCACTCTTGATTAATTAGTTTGATGAGATTGAGGTTAATTAGTAGAAGAAGAAGAAAGTGAAAGAAATATCATGAAGTATCTTCAATGAATCAAGATAAATGAACTTGTTTTTACACGATTTTTCTCTCTTGTCTAATCCGTTTCAGTTGATGATGATCAATTTTCCGCTGATATCAATTATGCACCAAGCAAAATGAGTAAAATAATGGTAAACATTGAAATGGATTAACTGATTAATTTGTTATTAAATTCAGTTGAAAGCTGTTGAAAGTCGCAGTTGAAAGACAAACAAAGTCTAAATATAAATCAATTGTCATCAACAATTCAAATGTAATCATTTCACTCCATTCAATGTGTGTTCAATGATTCAATTTGAGGGCATAATTTAAATCACTCTTTGAAACAACACTTAAACTACAATTTAAACAAGCGATTTAAAATGCTTCTGGATAATTGAAAAGCTAAATCTACATTTTTGTAAAACGAGTTACAATTTGATTGTAAACTCACTTTTTTAACCTCAAATTTATGAGAATTAAATTAAACCTTTTTGAATCTACTTTGCTGTTGACAAACAAATTAAATTTAATCCAATTTCTTTACATGAAAAAAGGTAAACAATTTGCTGTTGATTTTACAGAAAAACATGAAATGTTGATGGATTTTTTCAATTTTTAACATTTTAACATTTTCATTTCAAAAGATTAACTTTTACAACGCAATTGACGATTAAGATTAAATCTTTGTTGATTAAAATCTAGATTACAGGTTGACCTGAACATGAACAATGAATGAAATAAGTTGAAATGGGAACAAAAATAGATGAGAAAAGAGTTGATCATTATAAGTAGAGTTGTTCATCTTTTCCCTGAACACTTCAACTTGGATTAATAACTTGTGTTATAACTGTTTGTCTGCCTTCATGTTGGGTAATAAAGATACAAATTGTATCTTGAATCACGTTGAAATGGTCAAGATATTAATGTACAAAATATATGTAATAACGATGATAATTAAGGTTGGAAAGAGTTTAACTTTACACATTTCCATGTAACTTTGGTTCCAACTGACGAGAAAAACATTTTTTGGTTGTTATGAATATTGAACTTTCAACATTATTTGTTGACCCAAAAACATTTTCCCTGGTTAATGCTGGGAGATTATTTTTCACTCCAAGATTGAGTTGAAAATAAAAAGCTAATTTTTGTCCAATCTCGAGTTGAAAACAGTTTTTGAAAAAAGTAAATAACAAAAAATGGAAATCGTTTCAATTTTAATTTCTACTATTGTCTCAAAATTGATTGATGATTTGGAAGTGATTAAGTTAATTTGATGATTGTTGATGTAATCATTAATCAAAATTATAATTTGACCAACTCCATTGAAACTTGAAATCTCTATCTATAACAAATGATATTCAGTGAATATTGAAGCTTAGCTTAAGATCAAGATTTGTTTTATTCCCAATTGAAAGAAAATTTATTGACTTGTAATTTAATTTACATCTGAAAGTTAACTTGATCATCTTTAAATTTTCTTTTAGTCAGCAATTAAAATTAAGATTTCATAAAATTTAGTTGAATGGTTCAATCAATTGATATTTTCAGCAATTAACTGATCAATTTCAACATTTAAACTGAATAAGCGAAAATTTTGATTTCCAATCTCAAGCTTGACTTCTTGCCAGATCTGCAAGTTTCAACGTTTTTTGAAGTTCATTCTTAATCAACAAATTACTTGAAAATCACCTCAAATTAAATTTCAACAAAAGCTTTACCAATTGGAATCATTTCATCTAAATCATGAATCTTTCCAATCTGAATGAAACGAAATTGTGGAAAAATCTAACAATTTGAATTCAAATATTCGGAGATTCGATAGTTGAGAGGATTCTCGGAACAATCTGTTTTTTGAGCTCAATTCAGAAGTTCATCATACATGATTATTGTGAGATGAAAAATTCCTTGAACATCTTTGTTTGAAAAGTCGAGTGGTAAATGTTTGTGCTATCAGTGGACATTCATGGTGATATCATGATTGATTGGTTTGTCTCTGGAACAAATGAATGATACAATTGTTCATTTTGATTGTGTCTGTTTCACTTGGAAAATTACCATGTTTTTTGATAGCTCTTACAATCTTAATTTTGTCAAATGAAAACGCTGTTCATGTTGACTTGAGAACCAGAATTCTGGGTTAAACTCATGAGTCAAATCAAAGTGAATAATGGATACCATTGTCAACCATCTCATGGTCTATTTAATCAGTTCAATCATCATCATCATTCCATTTCATTTTGTGAACATTTCCTTTTTATTCACAACTAAACATTTTCTTTCACATCTTTATCCCTTTACAGACATTATTTTACATTTACAGCATTTCATCTTTACTCTCAGTTTGCCCTGTTTTCCGTCAACTGGTTCAAGCTTATGTTTATTTCATCCTTATAATGTTGCCGGTGTTTGGGTTAAACTCACTAAACGCCTGTAAACCTTTGCCTTGGTTGTCAGCAAACCTGTCATTTGTATCTTTACCCACAGGTAAGGTTAATGTTTAAGTAAACATTTAATCTTGATTCTGGTGCTTAAGGGCTGTATGAGGAGCATGCTAACTATCATGTATTTTGCTATCAATTTTATTTCCTTTTATTTCCTCATCACCTTCAACAATCAACCCAATTTTGAACATTTGAAATGAAAGTAAACTAAAATATAAATATTTCCTGTTCCTCTTATTTTCAACTGAATGAAGACAATAACTGATGGAAATTTGCATTTCTTTCGTTCAACATTTTCAGGTAAACATTTTTACTTGTTTTACCAGTTTCAAGTAAACTTGGAATGGATTCTGGGAAAATTGGAGCATTTATTGCAACTCCAAGTGGTTATTATAATGTAAAGACTGGATATTCTGCCTTCAATGTATCTACTTCTAGATTCCGTAAACTCATTGTTTTACAATCAACTGAGATACAGAATGTTGAAACCTAAGTGTTCAATGATCTTTCCTCTTCAGTCAACCCATTAATGTGAACTAACTCATTCTCTTGAAACTCAGAGTTCAATTGTTCATTAAATGTCAAAACTATTTACTCATAGAATATTCAACCTTCAATTCCATCATGAATACAAAGAGAGAACCTGAGATTTTTCATACTCCGAAAATCAAAAATGTCTAAAACCAGAAAAGCAGCTACAGAAATGGTTTTAAAGGTTGAATAAAATCAAACAATTACCTAAAAAATTCTGTAAAAAAACTCTATTTTTAGCTTTTTTTAATATAAAAGCGATTTGGAAATTAATTTCATCTTTTTTATTCTAAATTCCTTGTTATTGACAGAAAATTATGAAGTTATTCCAAGCTTTCCTACCAATGAATTAGAGGCTGAAACTGGTTGTGTTCATAGTTGATTGGATGACCATTTAATCATTTGATCAAATTTCATCAAATGAACAATCTAAAAGTGGAAAGGCTAAAAAAGGTTGAAAAGCATTTGATTAAATAATAATATTATTTTTCAACTTCATTTTCAGGTTTCCTGGTAATCATGGTGAACCAGAAAAGCCATTACCAATTCAATGGATGACAGTTTATATCAAAATTTACTTTTGGCCAGTCCAATGTTTTCATTTGGTTAACATGATGGAAAAGCTTGAGGCTATTTACTGTCAACTTGTCATTTCATTTAATACTCTTTAGGCTGAAATAAACATTGAAGCTCAGTCACCATTGATGATCATCTTTCATGGAACCATTTTTGTTATCCTTTCAGTTTCACACATTTATCCTGATCATCATGAAAAATGATGAAAAGGGCAAAACTGGATAACCTAAAGACCATGGAAGGATTGATAGTGAAGAAAAAATTGTCAACAATTTACTGATTTCAATAACATTCCAGAATATTTTTCATCTCTTTTAACCCTAATTTTCACTGTTTATCAAATTATTGATCCACTTTTTTTTCTCATTTCATCGACTTCTTTTGATAATCAATTGATACACAGATTTGAATCGGAAGTGGGATTCAGTGGAAATGGGATTTGCTATGGGAAACCAGATGAAATGTGTAGGTTGATCAATGAATTCACCAATTTTCATAGTTTATCTTTTTCTTGATACTTTGTCCAATTGATGGATGAAAACAAAAACTGAGCCATAAGGGTGATGATAAAGAGCATTTCATATTTCAATTGTTCATGTTGCTATTTTTTTGTGTAACAAGTATTTTCATGAGTAAATAATGGTTGACCTTTTCCAATGTTTACTTCACCCAAAAATAACAACAGTTGATGAGACAATCCATTGTTGCTATTGTAACCTGAAGATGATATTATTTCAGTAAATAAGATTAAAGGGCAACAATAATCATTTTTGATTTTGTTTCATTGTTAAGGACAATATTCAATGAAATCAAAATGGTAAATGAAAAGTAAATTAAATACATTTGTCCTTTTGATGGTCAACACCAATCTGTTCATCGAGTAATTACACTTTAATATCAAAGGTTAACCCATCATTAAGCTTGGTAAATGAATTTTTGATGAAAAAAAAGATGATCCAAGTTTAAAATGAAACGTTTGGATCAAGTCTAGTTGAACATGAAATTACCTTCAAAAGCAGCCAATTTCAATGTAACAGTTTCATGTCATAATAATGAGGCGAAAATAATCTCATCATTTTTTCAAACTTTAATTTTAATCTGTAACGAATAAATCATTGCTTTCGTTTTTAATGATTGCTCGGTTAATTGTTGGTAATTTAACAAATTATCCTCAACCTTTGAGGGATTTTATATCTCAAGCAAAAATTTTGTGCTTCTCCTGAAATCTTTTACACAAATTCAGAGCTTCTTTGAATCTTGGATTTTCATTGTATCGTACATTCGATGCTGAGTTATTCAAGTTTCTTCAGATTAACTGAATGTTTTCCTGAAATTGATAAAGACTAAGAACAAGAAAATTTGTGTTCGAAACTCGATTGTATTTCTTTCGTTGATCTTTCTATTATTGCTCAGTTTCGATAAAATGATTTCGTGTATCGATAGTTTTCTTGGTTTTTATTATTCGGTTGATCATTTTTCTCATTATTACTTTGGAAGCAATTTTTTCTCCTATTTTTCCAATTACTTTTTAGATAACTTGGATTTTAACCTCAGATAACGATAATTTTCTGAGCTACTGATGGATGCATCTTTAAAATTTTGCTTCAATTCTTTGGGCTGACAGACAACTCAGGAAAATTGATGAAGCAAAAAGTCTTGAAATTGTGTTTTCAATTACTTTGAAAATTGCTCCAATACAGTAAATCTGTATTGTGATCATTTATCAAAAATGAGACAACTAATTGAATAATAATTAAACTGTCTTGAAAATAAATTGCAAACTTTACAGAATCAAATCAACTTTAGATAATTATAGTGAAAATATTCTGGTCTTTAAATTTGGGCTCAAAGTGTTTAAAATAAAGTGATACAAGGTGATGATGAATGTTCAACTTGCAGTGAACAGTTTCAATTGAAACCTTTAAGCTCAATGAAAATGGACACTAATTTGTCAAGCCAACCCAATGTTGACACCTTAATGTTATCTTGAAATGTCACCATTATAAAGGCAGTCTTGTTGACTAACCTGATAGGAATATTAATCATGTTAATCATGAAGATATGAGAATTGGTTGGTTATACTTGTAACGTTATTTCCGATTGAAAAACAACGGATACATTAAAAACTGAGTCTTTCAATGTTTCCATTTTTACCAGTTTGTTCCCTTAATGGTTAACTCAATCTATTGTTTCCTAAATTTAATTATGTAAATATGCTTTTGATTAGCTTGCAAATTGATCCATTTAACCAGCCTTTTGGTTTGAAACGTTTCCTCGGACTACAATGGAGCCTTTGCAAGAACAATATTATCAAAAGTTCAATCTGTTGAACCTAAATTTCAAGCTAAATTACTGGCTTTAAATTGTTGTAAATTGGCGAGATTGTAATTAGTGTTCAACATTTGCCAGAGAAAATTAAAGACAAAAATTCTAGACCTACTCTGATTAACCTCTCAAAACCCAATCAATAAATGTTGAGTTTTGTTCAAATTATGCAAATTGATCAATAAACTGGTTGATTTGGGTTGATTGGGAAAATGTATTTTACAATTTGGTCAATTAATCAAAATTGAATTTACTCTTGACTTGTTTTAATTTTCCCGATTGTCTCTTCTGATTATCAACATTGAAGTTATTGATTGAATCTTTTCAATGGGAATCAATTGTCCATTGATTTATTGCATTTGAGTAAATTTTGCTTGAAAGACAAAACAAATGCAGACGAATGTCAATATTGGCATTTCAATATTTCAATGGTTTAATAATTGATTCAATTGATTTAATGAGAGGTTCAGTTTTTGATTATATGTTGTCAAGTGTTGACATTGTGATAGGCAACCACAATACATATCTTCAAAGGTTTGTGTTTAACCTTAAAGTGTTTTAAATTGCGTAAAAAAAGGGAATTGCGCTTGTACAGTTTGAACATAATCGAGAGACAGTCGATTCTTCATCTTTGTTCATCTTCTTGTCATCTTGCTATTTGCCTTTTCTTAATAACCTGGCAGGTTTACCGTTTGTCGTCTAATTTTAGCGCCATTTTTGCCAAATCACATATTAAAATGCAGTAAACAGAGGGAAATAAATAGACCATTGAAAGGCAAATGTCTAATATAATTATGAATATATTTTTATGCATATTATATTGAAAATTATACACTTATAAATGTATATATTTATAAATGTCTGAGTGTCTCAATGATTTCAAGTTGCTTTCCTTTTTGATATTTATATCATGAAAAGCTATTATTAGTTGCTTCGCAATTAATGCGGTTAATTAGATGATGAAAATAATGAAGATTGTTGAAGAATGAAAGTTTGGCCTGGAGAAGAGAGGAAAAAATGAATGTGATGAAGAGGAATGGGGAATGTTGGTGAACAAGTGAAGAGTGTTTGCTGGTGCAATAATGATTAAAAACTGGTGATGAACATGATGAGTATAATGTTGATTAAGATGATTAATTGAAGTTGAAAAGTGTGTGTTAACAAGTCTGTTTTTTTGTTGTTGTACTCACCATCTTGGTCAACAAGAGTGACCATATTTTTGAGCTCAGTTTCTGTTGCTCGTTGACCCAAAGATCTCATAACAATACCCAATTCAGTTGAAGTGATTCGTCCATCGCAATCTTTATCAAACAGTCTAAAGGCCTCCTGAAATTCAGCTATCTGTTCCTGGGTCAGGCCATATTCAGCCTAATATAAGATCACATTTAAATCAATCAATTATCAATCTTTCAAATAATTAATGGTCAAAGTCAATGGGTAACAAGCGTTTGGGTTTAACCAGAAAATTTTTGCCAACCAAAAGTCTCTCTGCCTTTTCCTTGCTATCTTTTTGCTTGAGCTTTACTTTTCACTTTTTACATTCTGCTGTCTTTCAATTGTTCATGTTAATATCGCTATTTGTAAATTGTTTTCCTTGATTGTTGTACATTTGTTTTCATTTGCTGCCTTTCATTCCCTCACGCTGTTTTGTTGGATGTTAATATTGTTTTATCAGGGATTTCTTGTGTGCTTTAGTTTTTCAATGACTTTCTCAACTTGTTAAATCCAGTTTCAATGTTGAATTTGGTGTTGAGCCAAAATATTTTTTTTTTTCATCATTTCTTTTCTCGCAACTGTTTGATCATCATCTTCATCTTATTTCTTTTCTTCTCCTTATTCTTATATATATATGCTCATATTTATGTTCAGTTTTATAATTAACTTGGTATCACTTGAATAAGCTGGGCTCAAGACAAACAACCAACGTTTCCAAGGACAATTAACGGGTGAAAGGCTTTTTTCCCCTTAATCCTGGCGAAAACATTCAATTGATTCATGATAATGATCTACCCTGGTTATTATATTAATCATAATAGATGGTATTTGCGATTCTCTTGCAAAGCAACAAACTGTTTAAACGGTTAAACATGAAATACGGCCAACTTAGCAACTATATACTGTGTGATAGGCCTTTGGTATATCTTTTTTGCTTTGCTGCTCAGCAAATCATTTGCAAATCAATATGTGATTCAATTGGGATTGAGAGGAAATAAAAAAGGATTATTAATGTTATTATTAACACTCTAATCATCGACTGTGATCATTATAATCAATGTATTTGGATCATTATTTGGTTGATAATAGAGTCAATTGAATGGCTTTTGATTTTTAGATTCACACTTCTTTCTTTATCTGGTAATGGTTAACCTATTGATTAATGGTTATTGGACTTACCTGTAAATTGGTATCACAAGGATCAGGATGCATGGAGTCGTTTAACATTAACTCCTAAAAAGGGTTAAAATATGATGAGATTAATTAATGATTGGTGAGATGAAATAATGACACTGTCTACACAAGGTTAAGAGTCTATTTGGGTATGTTTGTATGTAAAGCAAGTGGCAACAGAACAGAGTCAAAAATCCAAACAAGAGAAGCTGTTTTTTTTGAGAACAAATTGTCACACTAAATGTTTAAATTAACATCACACTAATTTTAATCCTTAGGATCCAATCAGATAGCCAAGTAAATCCAGTAGAAAAAAACCGTTGAAATTTGAATCCAGTAAAAGGTGAAAAGAGAGGTTAACTTATGAGTAATCTTTGTCTATTCACATGTAAAAAGCAGGCGACTCTAGTCTTATTCACTGTAAGAGTTTACTTTTTGATTTGTAATGTAATCTTACTGTTGATTGTTGTTGTTGATGATGAAGATGTTAATGACAATGATGATGAAAGTGATGATGATAATAGAAGAAGAAGAAGAAGAAGAAGATAATTTGTATTAATATACAGGGAAACAAACAGACTGCATTAAAGCTGCAAAATACACAAGAATAAAGTTGATTGTCGAAAATGCTGTATCCAACTGTTGCGATTTCAATTGCCAACAAAAACTAAACTTTTCTTCCTTCTCTTTCTCTACTTATTAATAAAATCTCTTTCATTACACATCATCTTTCATTCCCTTTCTCTGTCTCTCTCTTTCTCCTCTCTTTGTTTCTCTTATCTTCTTCTTTTCTCTTCTTCTTCTTCTTCTTCTAATTTTTGTTTCAAAAACAAATTTAGACTGAAATGTTGTTATTTCTTTCTCTGGTTATTCTTGCCTTCTGACAAAAATAAGTTATCATAGATATTAAATGAGCATTCTCAGTCTCTCACTTTAATCTTTCTCTCTTTTTATCATCCAAATCATCATGTTTCCTCTTTCTTTTTTACCTTCAACTCTTTCTTTTGTCTTCACCACCTTACACCGAATCAGCAACAAATGAATTTTAAAATAACTCTTGTTGCAATTTTAAAACTCCTTTCCGTTCTCAGGGTTAAATCAACTGATTTAACCAACGTTTACTCAACTTGTGAATATTTAACCAATTAAATGATAACCTGAACAATTACAAATTTCAAAGTCAAGTATAATAAAAATTGTAAATTCCCAGAATCTGCTATTTTTGTAATTCTGGTCGCTTCTTTAGACTTCATTTAGACTCTCAATTGTTACATTGAGCTTTATTGAGAAAAATTTTGACGTCTTTTCCCTCCTCAACATTAAATTTAACCATTAATATTAATTCCTGAATTAGCGGTTCAATAGTAATTGTTGTAACTGCAATGATATTTAATCTAAAATTAACAACCATTCGAAAATCTCATACAACGAGATAAATATCTAATGAGTTTACATTCCAAAAGAGATTTGCTGAAACTCACAATCAATAATGCATTTTGTTGCTCTCATTATGTTTCATTTAACAAATAAGCTGCTTATCGCCATCTTCAGAGTAAATCAATGAGTTCACAAGATTACATCGAAGCCCTCAAAGATGATTTATTGACGAATGCCGAAAATATCTCGCAGAGGCAAATAAAGTCCGAATTCATATTTGAAATTAAACAAGACAATCTTTCAAGATTCATTCAGATTGCTCCATTGGCCTTCCAGTTATCCAGATTTAACGACGATTGAAGTTCATGAAATATACAAAATGTGATTCGGTAGATGAATTATGGACAGCAGTCATAAATGTCTCTAAATTTGTAGTCAGAATTATTGCAAAGCTTGTAATGAGCTTCAATAATCAAATTTTGAGATTGCAGAATTGAATTGAGCTCAAAGGCATTATTAAAGACAATATTAAGATATTGCTTTTGCTATTTTACTAGATTTTTAAGCATGAATTGTTTGTCACAATTTAAACCTTCTTCTTCCATTTGGATCTTCAATATCTCGAGAATTTTAAATTAAAGGAATCAGTGTGTTTGCAACGTTTATTTACCCCTTAACAACAATAATTTTGTTATCATCTATCATCTCCTTATTCAGAGGATTCAATCATTTGGTTGTTGCTTTTTTAAAATCTATTTTTAGATTTAAATGGTTATTTATGAGCAATTAAAGTCTAAACGTAATGCTGGAAAGGTTAACCATTATTAATTCATCAGTTGAACATCATTGATTGAATGTAGTTTGTACTTATTGATGCTTTCAAGTTTCTTTTCTTTCTTTAATCGATGAGGTAAGTCGAATCCATTAAGTCTTTAGTATTGGCTTTAACCAATTGTGATCTAAACGATATCTGGATGTAAAATGTCTTGAAGTTGATTAAATAATCAATCGTTTCAATTGACGACTTGTTAGATAGAAGTCGCCATCTACTGAAGTTTATATTGAATACTCAAGTCTATGATGAGCATGATTTTCAATTCAGTTCAATTGAAGGTGTTTTATTACAGTTGAATAAACCGTAAGTTTGTAACAAGATATGAAACAATATATTACAGTCTAGAAATGATAATCAGAATTGTAAAAATGTTACAAATTTGTAGAAAAAAATGTAAACAAACATCATGAGATTAATGTTTTTTTACAATGCTTCAGTTGAGATGAACAAAAAAGATTGAATTTGTAAAGCAAATTACGGCAAATTATTGGATTGTCAAATGAATACATTATGTATGATCAGGCAGATATAGATGATTAAAGTTGATAATTGAAAATTACACAAATTTATGGCACGGATTGGAAATAATTTGGTCTTATATCACAGTTTCTAAATGGACCCCAGAAGGTCCATGGTGCTCAAATGTTAGCAATTGTTGATGTTCAGTATCAATTTCCTGAAATAATAAGAATAAAGATTAATAATTGAGCTCTTCAAGTTGTACTTATACTTACATCTTTTTTAATTGGCGAAACTTCCTTGGTTTTCCATGTAAACTCAATAGTTACTAAAATACAAGACAAGGCTGAACCTAAAAGTAAAAGAATCAATATACCGCCGATATTTCCAGGTTGCAGTTGATTGAGATCATGAAATGATTTGAAAAAAGAGCAATCCAGGGGAAAGGCTGAATCCTTGGTTCTCTCCTGTTTTGGTTTTTCATGAAACCATTTTGTTGTAAGTCTTTCAATTGTTTGATTTTCTCTTAACCACAAAATTACTTCAGATAATAGCTTTTTGTAAGGTGAACCAAAAGGCAAGCCAATACCATAACCTCGATCATCCAATGGATCACCTATTTGAGTTAAATTGCAATATCGATTCGCGTAATAAACGATTGACGTTGACTCCATGAAAAGTGCATAATTTTCGTGCATAACACGTTTTAATCCGTCCTCATAGGTTTCCACAAAGCTACTAGGACTTGATGAGCTCATTATATTGATTAAACGTTGGTGGATTGGATCACTGCTTTTCTGTTAATAGAAATTCAAACAAATTATCATTAGTAATGGTTAATTAGAAAGATCGAGTCAACAAAACAGTCAATGAATTTGAAAAAAATTTACTTTGAAAAAGTTATAAGTTGCTCCATGTTTAACACAACCAAATGCAACTTTCGTCTGTTTTATCAAATCTTCAAGAGTTTCAATAGGCCTTTCAAGCTTCGATGATGTTAAGAAAGCAGCGAGATTTGCTGTATAGGAAGATATAATGATTAAAGTAAAAAACCACCAAGAAGTAGCCAATGTCCGAGTTGATAGCGATCTGAATATTAATGTTAAATAAATTCAAGTTAACTATACAGATCAACATTTTCAAATTACTTTTCAATGAAACATACCTAAGACTGAGATCTGAAGATTGCTGCATAATTGAACATAAAGCAAACCAGGCACAACTTGAGAGGTTGAAATTATTCTTTGCTGAAATTGCTTTTGCTTTGTTTCTTTTTATTTGACTTGTGACAATTAGATGGGCTTGACTTGGCAGTGAATTAGTTTCATCGTTTATCCATTCTAATGGACTTAATCTTCCAATGAAACGCATTGTCAGAGTAACCCAAACAAAAGCTATACCAATTGAGAACCAAAGTTGTAGGGAAAACGGGTTTAAAAATGAAGTCAGGCTAAATTCATAATTTTCAGATTTCCGAGAAATTATTGATATACCAAAATTGATGAATGGAAATGTGAAATCAATCTTTTCTTGTCTTTCTCGTGTAATTGTCAAATCTCCAATAGCTAAATCAGCCTTTTGGGAGACTAAATTGTCAACAACATCATTCCAAGTACCGTTTCCATAAGATAATCCATAGGATCCATCACGACCAAGAAAAATGGTGTAACCAGAGAAGTTGAGTTTATGTTGAAGTAAATCCATGAAATCAATAACGAATCCTTCAAATTTTTCATTTCCAATCATTTTATCGTGATTACGTTTCAACATTAGATATGGATGGCTCTAAAAAATGTGATGAAATGGACAAGAATACATTTAAATCAATGAATACAGTTGAATATCTGATTTACTTACCAAGATAGAATTGACTCTGAATATTTTACGATGCAGTTTATCCATTAAAGTAACCTTTGATCGAGGTATATTCTCGTTTATGATCAAACCCATGTTACTATCCCAATGACCAATCTTTATGTTATAAGAAAAGAAAAATGAAAAAAGGAAAAAAACATTAAGTTAATCTATTATAAAATGAAAAAGAAACCTCCATGAAAAATGATTAACTGAAAAATCTCGCGAGACTGGCTTGCTATCAAGAAGAAAAATCAAAGTTGATTCTTTTTATATCATTACCGTTTATTCCTAAAGATAAGTAATGAAAGTCAAAAGTCAATTGTTGATTTCAGGGTGATATTTTTCGTATAGACATGGCAAAAGAGCGTAACTTTATGTTAAAAAATAACATTCTCTCATTTTTGAACAGCAAAAAAAGGTTATAAATGTTGAAAAACCTTATATAAAAAGTATTTAATGTTATCTGATACTCGGAAAGCATTTATCTTCATAAAAGTAACACTACGAGGAAACTAAATCACTCACAATTTTAAATGTCCTATTATACATTTTTTATATCACTCCCTGCAAATAAAACAGTGTAAATGTGTATATAGAAACATTACTTTAGTAGATTTCATACAAAAATAGATGGATTACACAAACATGAGAAGTGAATGATATAATGTACGAATGATTAAATGTATCAAGCAAACGTCAAAACTGACCTCTAAAAATGATGTTTTATTATTATTGTTTCCTCATAACTATAGCAATAACCATAATAATTGAATTATCCGTCAAACACTTTACACACTGAGACTAAATTTAAGACAAAAATACTTGAAATATGTAAGAATTATCGTCATTCTTTCAATAATGCTCAAGAATATGAAATTGACTTTTTTCTTGGACTATTGAAATCGATCATCATTGCCATCAGATTAAAAGCTAACTGCGACCAGACTTCAACATTCGCTGAGTAATACAGATTATTCAGATTTAGCAAAATCTCTTATTACCTTGTTAAATTTGCCTTTTCGCAATTTCATCAATTCTAATTGAAAACTAATTCTGGAACCAAATTGATTGAAGGAAATAGGACCCGTTAGACCATTGAAAGAATTCTGAAAAGAAGAAATCAAAGTAATTAATATTGGAAGACTTATTAGAAATATTGTGATGTAAAGGTAAAGATAATTGTGTAGTTTAAACGTACAGATTTTATAGTTGATATTAAATAGTTTCCTTGGGCCCAAAATTTGTTACTTGAGCATGTTAAACTTGGACCTTCATAGAATCCATCCTTGATAGATTTTTTGATTGATTCAGCAAGAACTTTTACTCCATCATATATTAAAGCTGAGGCAACCTAAAAGGTTAAAAATGGTAACAAAAGGAAAAAGGAAGAAAAAAGTATGATATTAAAAAGATATATTCATGAATTACATTATATTATTTAGGAATCAAAAGTCTGGCAGAAATAAAGGCAAATATGATATTGTTCCGAAATTTGTCTGACAGTCTTTTTATCAATTCAACAAATTATCATTTTCTTTGAAAAATATATTGACAATGATGTTGTCTGCGTTCATAACAGAATTGATATGATCAAGAATAATAGCTATATCCTTATGACCTGTGTAAACACTGAAGGATATTTATTAAACTTCCCTAACAATTAACTTACTATTTTGATGAATTAATAAGTTGGTTCATTGATTATTCAGCTTCTAACAGAATTATCCTCAAAATAGTCAAATTAAGTTGCAAGATGAAGCACTCGAAAGGTCATATTGAATGGTTCCATTTTGCTTGGAAAGGCTCAGCTTATTTGATTTTTCAAATTTTAAATTCAATTTAAATTCAGTTAAAAGTAGAAAAAGTAAGTTAAGATTGAATTAGGAGGTCAAAAAGCAATAAATGAAAAGCAACTGATCTTAACGTTGATTATCATGCAGTAAAAGAGGCTTTTTGAACCTACTTTCAATTTAGTATGTTTGGCTGTTGAAAAGTCGGATTGTATCCACATATCAGTTCGGTCAATGTATTGTTGGTCTAATAATGAGAATGTTGTTATATTAGTATCGATCCATTCAAAACTTCGAAGGTCCATAGATGAAATATCCTATTGCAAAAAGATTAGGAAGAGAAAAGATAAAATAAAATGAGTAAAATAGTGGATAAAACAAGTTTCATTTGTCAACATTTTATAAAGAGACATATTACAAAATAGATGTTATCAAATTTGATAAAAAAATCTTCACAACAAAAGCAGTATAAAAAGTTGAAAATAATAAATGGACAATTTCATGGAATTTTGAGCATCAACGACAAATTTTCTTTGAATCGGTAACAGAATGTGATGAAATATAACATATAAAGAAGGGAAAAAATACTAATAATGCTTCAATCTATAAGCATTGAGAGGATAAACAACTTATCATGATGACAATGAACAGGGAGAGAAAAAAGTAAAGATAAATAACAAATTTATTAAATATCGAGCGATAAAAGATAACAGAAATGAAATTTCGATTTGTTTTGCCACTGAAAATGGGAATATTAAAGAATTTCAAAAATAGAAAAGATCAGCAGAAAGAATAATTTATTTTACATTTCAAAATCCTTCCCTTTCAGAAGACTTTTCACCCTTTTCAAATTCTCTGTTTAATCAGTGAAAATTTTATCTTCAGTGTGGATCGCATAAGAATGAGTATTAAATGCTTGGAAAACTTACCAAATTGAAAAGGAAAAAATTGTTATACTCTGTCATGAGACCAGCTTTACGTGCCTTATGAATAAAAAGGAGAAAAAATTGAAATAATTAACGACCGCTAATTGTCTGAGTTACTCATCAAAGCAATCAATTGTTTTAAACTCACTTCATTCAACAGCTCAAGAATTTTTTTATCGTCCAAATTAACAATGAAATTAGTTTCGCCATGCTTTTTACAGTCTCTCAATAGCTTCTTGAAGGAGTTTACATAAGGTTGATATCGACGAACAGTTATTCGCATCATTTTGGTGGCTGAATTTATTCCAAGCAAATTTTTGAGTTCAATGAGACCTGTAAAATATGAAATGAAATTTGTTTAGATTTTGTATTAGAACTCAGAAGCATTCGATAAAATCTGAAACGTTTTGTATGAAGAGTAAGATTACAATAGATTGAGAAAGTACATGGTCAAGTATGATGAAATGAAACTGGATCGCTGTCACAGGAAATAAAAGACTTGTTTAATTCAATACTAAGAGCTAATCGATAGTGTCTAATGCTTGCTCAACATTTGTCCCTACTGAAATTGATTAATCATGATCAATTAAGATGACAACAGAAAGAGCAAAAATTACAGAATATCAAGTTAAAGTTAATCAAGACTAGAGTTGAGCAAATTTACCAGGAACTACCTTTGAGGGAAAATGTGACAATGAAAGCCTAGACTGTAATAAATAATTTATGTTTCTCGAAAGGGTAACCATTAAAAAGAGCATGCAAAGTGGAAGGCGTAAATGGTTCAAAGTTAGAGTGACCAATTGACATTAGTAAAGCTAGACAAACCTTCATTAGTTTCATAGATGATTGTGAATTGTTTCCAGTGGCCATGATAATTCATCATTGACTCCAGAGCACGACCAATCATTTTAGATGATGGAGTTAACTTAATGGTAAAATTGTGATACTTTCTGTCCTCATCAATCCATCCAACTGAAGATTGTGACAATGATGAAGTCAGAGAAAATGATGTTGATGTTGTCTTTGAAGGTAGTGGTGATAATGAATTGTTATTGGAGCTCCATAATATTGAAACGTACGGAATCCGAAAGTGAGAAACCAAAGAGTCAAGGTACCAGCTTATTGATTGACTATTGGGTCCCAACAGAGCCCATACACCATCTTCAAGTAATTTACATGCTAAAAGGATTGTAAAAATTGAGTAAAATTAATCTTTAAGGAATAAACAATCACATGTTTTAGTAAAAAATGTAGATAAAAAATGTACTTACTTGGCTTTGAAACGTGAAAACTGTCGCTATTGTTAATGAATTCAATTTTTCCAACTAAACGGAATCTATTGCGTCTCCAATCATTAAAGTTGTATCTTTTTAAAGCATCTTGAAAAGCTTCAACTAATGTATCATCATTTGTTTCCATTAACGCGCCTAAAAAGACAAAAGGAAAATGGTTGAGTAATGAGTTCAATCTTGACTTGTTAAATAAAGTGAAACATTAAAACAAGACATTAACAGTGGAAAGTTTTTTTAACGACAATTGGAGGTTGAAAATTTTCAAAATGTAGATCGAAGGTTAATACTCCTTCAATTTGTTAATCGGTTTCTTGCAATGGTTACAACAAATGTTCAACTTGCATAAGAATTCATGTCTAGGACAAGAATTCATGCAAGAGAATGTTAATGATTCTAGATTACTCTAATCTTTGTTATGATATAAACTCTTTATGTAAATGAATTTCCCAACAGTTGACTAACAGGTCAACACCGAAATATTTGGAGAATAGAAAACGAAGATTAATGGAAAATATGATTTTGACACTGAATTTTTATCTGGAACCGCATATTTCAACATTTACAGTTTTTATTTTTAAAATGTGTTGATGTTTATGGTCAATATATTGCATGATCTGAATAAAAATGGCTATTTCCCTGTAAATTCTGGTCAAACACACATGAATTTACATTAGAAAACACTCACAATGATTAATTTATTATCTTATTATGGTATTTTTGTCAAGTTATTCAAGGTATTTGACATCTACCTTTTAATGAGAAGTGAAATCTCAATCGATCATGTTAATGACACCTTATGAAGACAATTATGGTAGACAAAGAATTTACTAAAGCAAATTGCATAAATGGTCTAGATTAATCACAACAATCTGAATATTTAGGTATATTAAAATCAAAACAAAGATCTTACCAATTTTAATGGTTATCGGAGAGTCTGGATTTAAAGATGATGTTATAATGATATTAATGAGGAACACGGTTATGGCTGGAAAACATTTCAATCTGGAAATCATTATTTTTCACAACTCTTTAAAACAATAATGCTAAATTGATCATTAATTAGTCATAATAGCTGGTTGATGAAGAGACACAAAAAACTGGTAACACATATAATAACCAGAAAAAATTAAACAATTGATAATTAGTTCACTTTTGGTACTTTTAAGGGATAGGAAAATGGTCAGAAGTAATCAAAAGACAGATGATTGTGATAAAGATGATGATGGCAATAGTAGCAATATTGATGATGAAAATAAATGGAAGACATCAAATTCAAGTCAAGTATATTTAGCTTTGGCTAAGTGAGATGTTAGGTTGGATAGAAGGAAAAAAATTGAAGGAGATTCCTTTAGTCACGCAATTTGCTGGTAGAATGAATAAAAGGGAAAAAAATATGAGAAGAAGGTGATGATTCTTGGTTGCTTCTTCATCAGTATTCTTTCAGGTTGTTTTCTTCATTGAAACCTTCACATGAAAAATCTGAAATTGCATTTCAATTCAGCTCAATTTTATCTCTCTTACTCAACTCTTCGCAGAAAGAGAGAACCAGAAAGAAACCAACTTATTTAATTTGCCCGCGCTTGCGCCATCTCCATGTAACGATTCGATAAATTCCATGTCTTCATGTAACTTTGATTAAATTCACCTTTTCTTTGACAATTTTTGGATAATAATCCGTCCTTGGTTATCAGCAATTAGTATTTAGTCCACAGCGATTCTAATCGGAGTCGCCACAATATTCTGTTCCATTAAAAATGCCTGAAGATGTGATACTGAAATCCAAAGTTCCATCCCAAGAACAACCTGATTGTTCAAACTCGATTATTTGGACCAATTATTTAGATTGAAAAATAGTTATAATATAAATCAAGATAATTTTTGACCCATTGAGTGATTTCAAGATGGACAATGCAACAATGTGTGGGTTTCATTTGTAATCATCCATGTATTTGGATATTTACCAAAGTGTTTAGTCAGCAAATGTAAAGATTATCTTGAATTTGTAATAACAGCATAACTTTTTTCAGAATTTATGATAGATTTACATCAATGAATCCAAGAGAAAATTCTGAATGGCTATTCCTTGATTTTTCCCAAAGATTGAATGATTTCTTTCATGTTTGCTCCGATTGAGTCTAATCTGATATCAAATCTTTAGCCACATCTGATGCTTTTGACTTGGATTCCTTTGAAACTAGCCTTATGTTGATCTGAAATAAAAAAATAACAATTAATCAATTTGAAAATTTTACTTATTAGCTCATCCTTAGCTATTATCATTGTTGTCCAGACAAAGGCGATTTTAAAACCTTTCAGAATGACCCTCAATTTATTTGATTTACTGAAACAAAGTTTTCGATTTCTTTAGTTTTACCTTTTAATAAACTGCAATCTATGAACCTTGAGAGGGTAATGATAAAACAGTAACCAAATCATCAATGGTTTAATAGGTATCAGTTGAATGACTAATACAATTTCTAGCTCATGTTTACAATCATCTTTACCGTTTTTTTCTTATTTATGTTTATGTTCCAATAATCTTGCATGGTACTCGAGAGTAGGGCTGATAAAAAAGTCATGAAGGAGACGTAAACCAGGGACAGAAAGTTGCTTGAAAAGAAAAGGAATGACTAAAAAGATAATAACCATTGGAGATTGATTACCGATAATAAAGGTAATAGCACAGATCTTAATAAAACATTGGTGTGGCTAAAGGTAATAGCACAGATCTTAATAAAACATTGGTGTGGCTTGGAGAAAGTAAAAAGATACTGCAAGATTAAGCTGTGAGTTTAAAAATCTGATTCAAATTTTAACACAAGATTAATTATAACTGTGATTTGTTTTTCCATTCAATGAACTATTTTACCGATCACCAAGTGAAGCTAAAAATTAAGTTACAAAAACCTATCTACATACCTCATCCATTAATTTCATTTATAGTTAACACTCATCAACATGGATTATCCATTATTCATGAGGAGTATCCTTCTCCTTTCCAATCTGGTTTGTCTATTTGTCTCCATCATCTGTTTCACCATTGATTCAAATCGTTGGCATGAAAATCTTACTTCAATCATAACCCTAATAGTAACTGTTTGGGGTTTCTTTGTTTCCTGTCAAATCAACCAATGTCTTTTACTGGCATTCACTGCTGCCTCCATCTTTGATTTCCTTGTGACTCTGGCCAACACCATATTCATGATAGTTTTAACAGTTAAATGGAAGAAATTCTGTAACGGTGACATCTATTTCGATGATGGTTCCGATTGGACTTGCTATGATTTAAATTACAAAGGCTACTGGGGATTCGTCTATGCTGAGATTACACTCTTACTGCTTGGTTTGATCTCTCGAGCACTTTCTGGTGTTTCTTCATTTTTCCTGGTCAAATTTTATTTCAACGATGTTAAACGCGATCACGAGTAAACCCTGCGACTGGAAAATTCAATGATAATCAGTGAAAAGTACTAACATTTGAGGATAAAAAAGGAGAGAAAAATAAATGAGTTTAAAATAAACAAGTAAAACCATGCTTACCTCATTATGAGCCAGTTTTTTAGATTTGCATCAACCTTCCATAGATTTCTTTTCCTTCTCTTGGTCTGGTTCAACGTTAAGATGACTCAATTAAGCTGATATTCATTTAGTTTTAAAGAAACTGGTTAAAAAATCATCATGTAAAATACTGAATGGAAAAATTCAACTTGAAAAAGTGTGGTTAACTCAACGGCAAAGTCTCACTCTTTTTCTCCTTTTGTCTTTACATTCAACAAGCTTAAAATTGAACTGTTAATCACCTATTTCAATTTTACATTATCTATGATAATCTATAAACACATTTTGTTTACACTTATTCATCCAATTAAAATAAAGATTGTTTTATAAAGATAAACCTAAAATTTGTTGCTGTTTCAAGCAGTATCATTGTAACAATTATGTTTTAATGTTGTTAGTGTGCTTTTAGTTAACTGTTATTTCCAGTCTATTTCATCTTTTTTTCAATTTTACAAAATTTGGTCAATTCATGGATTCTCAATTCGAGTGTCATCATGATGTTTAACTATTCGTTCAGGTAAGTAAGAGCTTGATAGCATTTCAAATTTTTCAGTTAGTTTCAACGTTTTTTTGTCTTTCCATCTTTTGTTTTCAATGGAAGTATGAAGTCGCTTTAGATACCTAAATAGCTGTCAATTGGGGTACTTATCATTGTATTGTTGTTTTTTGTATCTCACATATTGTTTAGGATATTTGTGAGGCTTTTTAAATTATTTGTTGAACAATTGATGTGTGATTGTCTCATGATAGCTACTTCAATATGTATAACAATCATCGGTTAACTTCAGATTGACTTTTTTTCCCTAGTGTCTTACATTAGCTTCGGTGCAGTTGGTCTACGTCATTTTCCAGAATTCATAGCTATCTTTGTAATTGTTTTATCTAATTAGCCTGTTGTTCGTTATAATATGAGGTGTAATGATGAGCTGTTAGAATGTTCGTTTTGGTTCAACTACGTGTCAAACCGCCCCATTTATTGTCTAACTGAATGCCAATTTCATTTGGGTTAGAGATTGCACTTAAAACAATATTCTTGAATGTAAGGATTTAAATCATCCATCTTATATTATCTTTGTTTGTCTTTAATTTTATCTTTACTTTTATCTTTTCTGTGTCGATATACAGGGTGTCACAGTTGAAACTGTTTGAGCCTGAAAAGTGTATGAGACTGATCGGCAGAAAGATAAGCAGCTAATTTGATTATTTTACCAATGGTTAAAACAATGAAATTTTAGATGAACGCGGCAAATAGTTTAGTCATTGTAGATTCCGGCTGACTCTAAATCTTGTCATATTGTCAATTAAGCTCATTTACAACCAGTGTTTCAGCAATTTGCCTGTGACTCCCTCCATGTATATCAACCATATTTATAACTTTACAGCTATGATTGATAGTAACTTATCAGACAATCTAAGTGGTGGCAATCAGTTCCATTAGTCAACTCATCATGAAGACTCATTCATTGTACAAGATTTTCTGGTTATCATGTCAAAGTGAAACCGTAACCATCCGTTATGTTCGCTGACTCGAATCCTGCATGTGTTTTAACAAGTAAGGATTTATTGGACGCCATTAGGAGCCAATCGCTCGAGAAACTCGTCCAAATTAGTTGCTGTCATTTCCTTGGAGACATATAAAAAATTTTGGTTGCAATCAATTGGTACCGATAAGACTGTTTATTTTACAAAAGGAAGTTTACAACAACATATAAAATACCGTCCAATGAATGATTTTGGTTCATTTTCTCGAGCTCATTCAAACAACTCAAGACGAATAATTGTCTTTTTTGGTGTTTGTTTGATTTTTTTCATCTTTTACTTTACCATAGATTCCCTTGGAACATCACCAGCTTACGACTATCATCCCTCTAGGGTATCTATTCCGGACGTTGATTATCAAGCTGCTAATGGAAATCAGGTGCAAAACGGTGTAGATGGTTCACACATTGGTCAAAAGAAGGTTGATCGTCCATTGACTATTCAGGAAGCTCCTAAAATATTGATATGGACCGGACTTTACCAAGATCCAACCTGGGAACATAGTGTTGAAAAGCTATTACCTTGTGGATGTTTTGTAACTCGGAAAAGAACCTACTTAAATGAAGCGAAAATCATCATCTTTCATTGGAGGAATCTTCAGGTTAACGATTTACCGGTAAAAAGGAGTGACCAAAAATGGATCTGGCTTCATACCGAATCACCTCACCACACTTGGCGATCCAATGTAATGTCAAGTTTACAAAGTAAATTTGATTGTTGGGCTACATACCGACAAGACTCCGATTTTTACATTCCTTATGGAGTAATAGAGCCAAGAGACAGTTTTAATGCCTCCATGGATAGCAATTTAATTTCAACAAAACTAGAGTCAAAGCCTAAATCAATTGCTTGGATGGTTAGCAATTGTAAAGCTCCTTCTGGGCGTGATGATTATGTTAAACAGCTATCTAATCATATTGCTGTTGATATTTATGGTGCTTGTGGTAAATTAAAATGCTCATTTTTCTCGGACTTTCGTTCTCAGGGTTGCTGGCAGAAAATGGCCAATGAATACAAGTTTTATCTCTCTTTTGAGAACTCTATCTGCACAGACTATTTTACTGAGAAAGTGGTCAACATTATGAGCTACAATATCATTCCTATAGTTTTCGGTGGTGCTCAATATTCATCCGTCCTGCCCAATCACTCATTTATTAATGCCCTTGATTATAAATCACCCAAAGAATTAGCTTCATATTTAAATTATTTATCATCAAATGAAACAGCTTACAATGAATACTTTGATTGGAAGAAAAGTTATCATGTAAAATTAATGATTCCTGATCGTTATGACGATATCTTTTGTCAAATTTTCACTGGGTTAACGGGGCCAGAGCCGAAACAATGTAAAGGTACTAATGGTGAGAATCTAGTCAAATGGTGGTTTGGAGGTGGACATTGTAAAAAGTGGAGACCTAATATTGGACTGGTTAAGCATGAGGTGTATTAAGATTATTTCTTTTTAATAATCATCTTACCAATCAAAGTGGCTGTGATATTAATTTAAATTTTATTACAAATATATTGATCAAATGTTACCTGTTACAGTTCAGATGGTCAGACAGTGCCTCGTATTAAAGTTTAACAATTGAATTTGAAAACTATAAAATCACTTTGAGTACAGTTTTAGTTGTGTTGCGGAAAATGATAAATCTATTTTTGATTCAACTTGTTATTTCCAATATTGTATCATAATCTTATTTGATTATCTTTCATTGTTCATGATGATGTATCCATATTTTCGCCAGATTGTGACAGCTCAGCTGTTAAGTCAGCGAGTGTCTTTACAGAATATAAACTTTTCTCATCACAAGCTGGATTCATTTTGGATTCGTGTTTTTTTGGTTTATTTTTAACATAAATAGATGAAAGGGCGAGCTCTTTTAGAAGAGCAATGCTTTCCGATGGAATGGAATCTTCTGGTATAAGACTAGAAAGGTGATCAACGAGTTCGGGTGTAAATTGTGTCAGTCTTTTTGTTGCTTTGTAAAGCAATCTTTGCCATACAATTATTTCAGTTTCTGGCTTTAATTCAGGTAGTGATAGCATTTGTTTGATGGAATCGTCAGCTTGTTTACTGAGGCATTTAGTAATCGTTTTGAACCAAAGAACAGAGACTCTAGATTTTCTCGCATCAGCTTCAGTGAAATACTTAGTTAAATGGTGTAGAAAAAGCTCTAAAGATTCAAAATTATTAACTAAACGAATTATTTTCGCATAAGGCTTAACGATCTTAACTGGAAGCTCCATGCAATCCATATCGAAATCAGAAAGTTTATAACCAGATTCTCTAATTAAAATATCAATAATTATTGAGAATGCTTGGTCAGGGTGGTCAAGCACAGTTTGTGTGATTTTCTCTCTTAAGATAGCTTTTTTAGAAGAAGCTGCAACTGCTAACCATTTTTCCACTTGTTGTGCAAGTTTGCTTAAATTTTCAGTGTTTCTACTTTCTTCTTCCTCTTCGAGCATTTTGTACCAAAAGTGTTTAAATATCCAGGAAAGGGCAAAAAAATTAGCTTGGCGAAGAAGAATCAAAGAGTTGGTGGAAGCATGACAAGTTTTATGGCGACACTCTAACACCCATGAAGGCAATCCAAGTGAAAGACCTAAATCACGGACAGTCTTTTTAGATTTATTGTTCACGCGATAAACTTTTCCTTTTTTGGTCATCTGTAACAACAGAAAGAGTAAAATTGGCTTTAAAATGTGTTTGAAATTGATTATAATATTGTACTTACTTCATAAAAAGGTAACAGATTACAAAATTTAACGATGGACATACCATAGAAGGTGCATATATCATAACAATTATTGGTCAATCTTTGATCTTTTTCAATATTGTTCCCATCCAGGCAATACCGATCTTTGATTAAGGCATTGAGGAGAGCTAGAGTTGCTTCGATTTCTGGTAAACAGTGATTACTTGTTGTAGTTTTAACTTGCCATAAAATTAAACGATCCCGGGCCCATTCGTAGGCTTCAATTGGTGGTTTAACAGGGTTACTTGGATCAATAATTTTCAATACTTCACTAAAGGTGTCATCTTTATGCCAAGGGTACATTTTTAATCAGTTTTATAAATGACAACAATCAATAACTCTGAATAAGAAAAGAATTCAATTTGTTAAGAGTCGACAGAGAAACACTACACAAAATTATTTGCATGTACACAAGTAAACAGTTTAAGCATGTTCTGTAGAAATAACAAAACAGCCGGAATTGCTATTTTCACGTTTATTTTCTTTCTAAACTTTAGGCGAAGATTAAGTTACTTCTCATTGATAATCAGTTTTTAAACATTATTTTATTATTTTATCAGATTCGATATATCATACAAAAAATCACAATTTATACATCAATGGAAACACAAAAGACTTATTTAAAAAGGAAGATCCAATAAACGATTGATTTAGAGGATGAAATTGCTGAAATGAGATGATCCTACTCAAAACGAGTGAAATTGAAGAATCAATTATTTTGAAATTGGAATGAATTGTGAGTCAATGTTAGCTAAATCAGAGGAGCTATTTCCATCATTAAAATCCAATCTATCATTATCAAGATCAGGGTCATCGTAAAGTGGTGCTATAGGTAATGGTTGCTTTTCACAAATGGCTATTTCTTGTTGCTGGTATTTCATTGCCTCATCAAAATCGTTAATAGCTGAATAGCATTTAGTTATGTTTCCGAGTGCTTTTCTCATTCCAGTCAAATCATTCAACGATCGAGCGATTGAGAGTGATTCTCTGTGTAATTTGAGCGCCGAGTCAAAATCACCAAGCAGGTAGTAAACTACACCAAGGTTGGCTAAAGTTCGTCCTTCACCAAGCCGATTTTTGGTTATCAAAACCATTTCTAATTGTCTTTGATGCCATCGTTTTGCTGCAGTAAGATCCCCAAGACAACGAGCAGCATGACCAAATCCCGCGTAGGCTCTAGCTTCCATATTACGGTTACCAACTTCTTGAGCCAATCTAAGAAGTTGTTCATTGTATTGTATTGCTGTTTCATACTCTTTCTTAGCATGATATGCTGCGGCCAGATTGGAAACTGCTTTAGCTTCTTCCATTCTATTTCCACAGGTTTTGGATAACTTCAGATGTTCAGAGTGACATTCTATGGACTTATCGTATTCTGACATAGCAAGATAAACTGAGCCAACATTACCGATTTCTTGCGCTTCAGCTGAAGTATCACCTATATTTCTGACCATCTGCAAAGCTTGCGAATGGGACGATAAAGCATTAACCAAATCATCTATTGCCCAATAAACGTGACCCAAAGCTGATAATGCAGCGACCGCTTGATCCGTGTGTTTTCCTTTCATGGCTAACATAAGTTGCATTTGATGTGCTGTACAAGCTTCTTTGTAGTTTCCTTTACAAAAATAGGCAGCTCCAAGATTTCCATGAGCTCGACACTCGCCGATTTGATCACCAAGAGATTTAGCCACCTCGAGATCCTGTTTCATGAAGTGTAAAGCTTTTTCAACTTCACCCAAAGCCCAATAAGCAGCAGCCAGTGATGAGTAAACAGACTCTCTCAACTTCAATGATCGAGTTCCAATACGAAGAGATGATTCCAAAATTACCAAAGCAGCTGGATAGTGTCCATCGGCTAATATTTCCTGACCAATCAATGATGTTATAACGAAAGGACTTTTATCCAATTGAATGGCTTGAAGTTGTCGATAAATTGGTTCTATTGTTGCTCTTAATGGACTTTTCATAGCTGTCTCTATGAAACGAGCAAGTAATTGGGGACTTTTTACATCTTGAGCCAAACCTGCAGCAAATGCAGCTAAAGCATCAATGAAGCGACCAAGGTGTTGAAGAGCAATACCTTGACGGTAATAGGCTTTAGACCAATGCGGGCTTAATTCTCGGGCTTTGATCGCGTCTTGCAATGCTCGTGGATATTTACCAGCTCTACAATAAGCTGCCGATCGATTACCATAAAGCACATGATTAGATGGATCCAAATCAATAGCTTCAGAGTAAAGCTTTATTGCTTTTGCATAGTCTCCAGATTGACAGCAACTGTTTCCCTCTCTTATCTTTTCAACAAACAACAGTTTGTTTGATGACAAATTAGATAATCGAGTGTTCAATTTAGACGAAGGGCATGATTCTGCCTCTGATTCCAGTCCAAACTTGATTGAAATTTCAAAAATAAAAAATAAAAACAAGTAACAATAAGTCAATGAAAAATAAAGTTTGGTGTTTCAAGAAAAAGTATAAACAATTCTTACCTCTTCAAAATCTTTTCCCAGGCCAAAACTAATCGATGAATCGGAGCAATCCATGGAAAATGATTAGTTTAATTTTGTTTCCTTTAACAATTAAGTTACATTATTTAAAACGATGAATTATTAATTGACAACGGTTGCTAAAAAAGAGACTTGTTGGATAAAAGAGCAAGTGGTAACTAGCAACGTTAAGAAGAAACATTTGAAAACAAGTTTTATAGACTAAAAGTGAATTGCTTTTGACCAGTCCAAAGCTATAATTTTCTTGAACTAGGGACAGCAGCTCCAGTAGGTTCATAGCAATTGATAATGCAGTTTGAATCTAGATCACTTTTTTAAACTTAAAAATCTCACATCTTTAAAAAATTAAATCAGATTTTCAGAGTCTAGGAAATTACACGACATTCCTCTGAATAAAGCTCATAAATTATCAAAGTATAAAAGCATATCAAATTCATAACTTAATAAAATAAGCTGAATATTGAAAGGTAAACATTTATTCTTCTACTTAATTATTCAGATTTAGCCATGAAATGCTATAGAAACTGATTCAAGCTCAATGTTCAGGCGAAAATTAATAGCAGAAATAAATTATTTAATGGTTAAGCGGGTTCATTAATATTAAAATCTTTGATTATTTTCTGTTAAAAAATTGAAGATAATGCTGAGACTCGCGAAGTTACAACAAATTTTCCATTAAATCGAAGATTAAGAATATTGAGATCAAGAAAATATAATTTAATTAAAATTAATAAATAGCTTTAAGAAATTTGAAATTTGTACCAACATGCATCGCCATAGCAACAACCAAGAATGTTTGATTTTAGCTTTTGGGTTATAAACATTAATTTAGATTGTTTTTGTTTTCTTATCTCACCCATTATATTTATTGAATTTTTGATTATAAATCTAATTAATCATTGACCTTCAAAGGTCCGTGTATCATCGTATCTCAGTCCATTCAAAACTTAATCATCTGACTGAGAAAGGTATGATCACGGTAAACATTGCTGATGACAATGATCACTCGTCAACATCAACATCACCATCATCTGTTATTTCATCCTCCCAAATTAACTCTTATCAAAGTGTTCAAGACACTTTGAGATTCCGTAAACTTTGCCCAACTGATTTAGAAACTTTGAAAAGTCTTTGTGAGGTTTGGTTTCCAATTACATATCCTCCAGAATGGTATGAAGCTGTGATCAATGGTGAATACTTTTATCCTTGGGCAGCAACTATTAATGGGCAGATTGTTGGTATAATTGTGGCTGATATTTGGTCTCTATCTGATTGTGATAGCTGTGATTATGATGTTCTACCACCGTACAAATTTTCCGAAGACACTAAAGTTGCCTACATATTAACCTTTGGAGTGGTTAAAGAATATCGTCGAATGGGAATTGGATCTCGATTGTTGGATAAATTAATCAATGAGTTGACCGTCAATGTTAATCCATCAGACACTGCCAATACTGTGAAAGCAGTCTACCTCCATGTTTTATGTGATAATGTGACCGCCATAAACTTTTATAAAAGTAAATCGTTTCGTATCCACCGATATCTGCCTTGGTATTATTGTAATTATGCTGGTAGAGGTGATGCTTACTCCTATGTAAGGTACATTAATGGTGCAAAAATATCATGGATCTACTCATTTCAATTTGCTCGATGTCCTATTGTTGGAGTTTGCCAGGTTCTAGGAAAATTACCCTACTTATTATGGCGTGTTTTAAGAATTTTAAGACTCTACCGAGTTCCCATTTTCAGGGTCTCCGAGAAAATGAATGAAAAACCCAAAGAAATTACTGCTTGATTGTTACTTCATTTTTTTGTCTGCTTAACTCTTCCAATCACTCTTATTATTCTTATAATTCAAGGATAAATTTCTCAACATTCCATTCATCTTGGAGAACACGATGATATTGGAGCGAATGAATTATCTATTGTCACAAATTGACTACTTTCTCATCTCTTAAAGTATGCCCATTCGCCTTATTTATCCGATGAGAATTATACACTCTACAGTCCTCCTTAACTTGGTGTTTTTTCATCAATTGTAATTTGTACATACATTTACCAGCAAATTCTCGTCAAATGTCGCTGTTTTCATAACCCTAAGCAATAGAAGAAACAAACAATGCAATGCAATTAAAGTTTGTCTAAAGTCACTCAAACTTTCATCAATCAATCATCATTCTTGATCGATAAGAACAAGAGTGGCCAATTTTTTAGAAATGATGAAAAAAACTAACCTATTGGTTATTAGTGCCTTCAACTTAATCATCAGCAATTTGAGTTTCAGATGTCATCTAGATCTTTCAAAAAATTTGTATTGATGTACAGTCCCTAGGTTCGCCAGGGATTCATCCGAAACACAATAAAGACAATGGATCTTTTAAACTGCTCAATAACTATTGTCAATTAATATCTTTGAAGTTCACCAAAAGAGTTATTCTAAAATTGATATCTTTCTACTGAACAATATTCACCACCAATTATATTTATTTGAGACAACTAAAGGCAATTAATAAATCACAGAGCTATTAGGATTATACTGTGCATTTGTGCAAAATCCAAAGAATATCGATGTTTTTTCATTGAAAAAATAGTCTCAAACTAACAGATTTATCTAAATTAACTTCATATGAAATTCATACCGAAAAATTGTTTAATCAATTTATTATTAAGTTGTTAAAAATGTAGAGCGTGAATCCGTTTTTAAGTAATATGATATTGTAAATCAGCAGACGATCTAACCTTTACCTTGAAATACTAGTCAGCCATAAGCTGTAACTTAGCGAGCGTTTAAAATTCAAACAAAATTGTAAGATTATGTGCATTAAGACGCGAAATGGCATTTTTTCCCACCCTTTAACAAATTTAATGTCACCCTTTTTCGCGCTACGTACTTATATGTTGTAGAAAATTGAAATCGGTTGTGGTTAAAAATAACAGCCGATTAACAATCGGCACAACATTGTTAATTTACTTTCGTTTTATCTGTCCAATTGTAACAGTATATTTATAAATTTCTTTGTTTTGTAAATTAATTGTTCACAACTGATTGCAAACGGTTGAATTAGCAATTAAATTTTGTTGTAGAGCTTAGCCTTCGATTCGCTCAAACTAATGAAATTTTCATTAAACCAGTCATGTGGAATACTAATGAAAAAACATCTGGATCAAATGTAGTTGGTAATGAATAGTTATGGTTTATTTGCAAATCAAATTTAATCAAAATAATATACTAGAAGCACAAATGACCGAATTCGTAAAAATGGATTTGAATTGTCGTGGATTGAGAGCAGTTCAACTTTGTTTCACATTAGAAAGTCGTGTAAAATGAGATGAGTCCGCGATTAGAATGAAAAGGCAAAATTTCACTTTGGTTAGGATAAAATATGACTCTGAATAGTAAATTAGTGTAATGCGTCCTCTTGTATTGCAAAAATAATCAAAGTAGGCAACAGCACGGAGCGACAATGCTCTCGGAGCTTGGATTTCTTTGGCGACTCCTGGTATTTTCCTTGTCAACTTCTAAGGCGATTTGGTTTAGTGTTGGTCTGTCTCGATTTATCGTTAATCTAGATTCTTCAATACTTGTACTCAATGTGTGTCCTCGGTAAGATAGTCCATTTAATTTATTTGCTATTGCAATGGCATCTGATTTAGAGTTGAAACTTAACCATATGGCAACACCTCTTTGATTTTCAACAAATTTTCCATTGCGTTCCTGGGCCACCTTCTTGAAATCAAATGCGATCAAAGCACTTCGGACATTTTGGGGGTGACCAGTTACCCGAACAAGCCAAGGGTCATAGCAAAGAGGTGCTTTATAAGGTTTACGATTCGTGTATGGTTTACTATTGATGATAGCAAAATTGTTGACATGAAAAGCTTTGTCTACACTCTCAATCAAACATTTGGCGGCATTGTCGTTGTGTATTAAGTAGATAGTTACATTGTTACGTCGTTTAAGAGTCCTTGAGGTAGAAGCAAAGTCTGCATCACCAGTCAATAAAATGACAGAAACATTTGAATCTCCAGCATCATCAACAAAACGAGTCAGAAGTTCCTTTATTTTATCGTCAGCGGCATTTTTCACATTTAAAGGCACATGGATAATGGTTAAACCATCTAGATGAAGATGTCTGAGTGCACCAGCTCTGTCAAAATTCAATACATCACAAACAATGAAAAAATTAGTCTCCAACCATGAATTATCGCTGATCAGACGTCTTATCTTTTTGACAAAATCAGTTGGTATAGTACCTTTTGGAACTGGTACGTTTTCAATGTCCCAGAAAACAGCACATTTTATGGCCTGGCTTGTAGACATTGGTTATTGAATAGAAACGTACTGTTCCGTTGATTTTTTAAACAAAATGAAAAACACAATAAACCTATAAAAAACAAGCGTTATACATTAACGTTATTCAGATGAGTGTTACATCGCCCAACAGATGTTAAAAATCGTTCGTAATATCTTGGAAAATTAATTACCAGCTAAGATTCTTGCTTTGTAATTGTAATTTCAATTATGAATTAAGATTGCGTGTTAATGTAGTAAATACACGATCATAGATCAAAAACATGTTAACTAAATAACGGTTTAAACATATTTCAAGGCACAATGATTAATTTGTTAATGAAGCAGACTCTAACACCAGAGGGGAACTTGACTGTTTACATAGAAATCTCTTTAATCTGTTGAGATATGTTGTCCGATGATTGAAGTTCAATCATTGAACAAACAATTATGATAGTTTTTAAGCTCGACAAAAATGTTCAATGGACTCCAAATAAAATGAAAGTTTCTCCGAAATACCTGGTACGTGAATGTTACGAATAATGACTAACGCTTAAATTAATTAAACCGTTTCAACAAACCTTAGATCAATCAATTATTTCATGTCATTTGGTGCATTGTTACTGAGGATATGTATTGAAGTTAATCAATTTGATATTAATGGGTACAGTGAACGTCACTAGGATTTCGCTTTGTTGCTAGATATTAATCAATGCAACAGAAAAAATGTTAATCTTTCGAATGATTTTCTATCACTTGTTGGTTTTTATAAGAGGCCTAATCTTTTTTTCTCAGTCAAACAGATTAATAGATGAATTGATAGATCGATTGGGGTGCTTAGGAACAATGACGAAAAATTCACAGAAAATCAACTAAACAAAAGCAATTTGAATTTGTCTTTTTGTTCAAGATTGATCAGAATTTTGAAAAGGAGGGCCTGAGTTTTTAACAGATTAAGATTCAATTGAAATTGAGTTTTCAGCTACTTGGGAACATTCTTTCTTCAACTTACTATTAAACCAGCAAATATTTTGACAAGATACAAATTAATTCTGTGTATTTTAGAAATTATGTAATCAATTTGGTGTTTTTAGATAGATACAATTCTCAATCATTTGGTTAATGCTTGCCTCGTGGAACTGTATGTAATCGCATTCACATATAAAATTAGATAAGCAAATTATCTATGATAACTTATTTGTTGGAAAAAATTACAAGTTATATTTATGTAGCAATAAATCACTCAAATTGAGCTATGAACACCATGATCAAAACACCAATGGCAGCTGCGATAATTTCTAGAATAGATTGTTTTAAGTTAGTTTCTTCTAATAATTCTGGTATTACTGATACACATGCGATATAAATGAATCCACCAGCGGTAAATGGTAAAATCCAAGGTGATGCTGTTTCGGACGTTCCGTCGGCCACAAGTGAGATCAGAGTTCCAGTAACAGCTCCTAAGGCAGTCAACAATTGTAAGAACATGGCTTTTTTCCGAGAGCACCCAGATTGTATTAGAATAGCAAAATCGCCTATTTCATGGGGAATTTCGTGAAAGAGTATAGTTATTGTAGTCATAAATCCGATTCCTTGTCCAGTGATGAAAGAAGCACCAATGGCTAATCCGTCCGTAAGATTATGGGCCATATCAGCAGCAAGATTGAGATAACCTGCGACTTTTATTTGTTCAACTAAAGAGAATGGATAGGATAAGGACATGACAGTGGGGTGATAATAGGTGATAGTAGAGGATAAATGAAAAAAAGAGAGTTAGTCAAGCAATAATGTTTGGTTGATGAATTTCATCTAGCTAATGGTATAAAAAACGGGCCGGAGAAGAAGAACCTGTCGGATCAACATGCAATGTAGATTGAGCAAAAGAACCAGATGGCAAGCAACTGTCTAACTTATAGAGAATATAGATTTTGTCGTGTAATAAAAGGTTTATTTTGGGAAATTGCATACCAGGTTCAGAATGAAGAGGAACAATTTTATCAACACCAGTGAACCTGACTCTTTTTCCACTTGGACTATCCGGACATTTAGTAGAATCATCACTGAGCTGATCTGATCTAGGACTTCCTTTCAAAGATGTTTTAGAAGGCTTCTTCTTCTCCGTGGTTTCCTTTTTCTCTCCACTCTCCTCACCTTGTTCCGGCTGCTTTTTGGTTTCATCTTCTTTTGATTTCACTTTCTTTTTATCTTGGCTTTTGGGACTGGCAGAAGTTTTATGGGATACTGAATGAGAATGACCATGTCCAGGGCCTTTACAGATTCTGACAAACTTTTCAACAACTAGGAAAGCTAAGACACCAGCTAACACCCTAATAACATAAGAATAGAGAAAAAATAAAATTAGTATTGAAAATCAAGGTAAAGGGTTTCATTTTTTCTATGTTTGCTGGCACAACTAACCATAATCCGACTGACATATCGTGACTGTGATGATGTTCACCATCGCTCTCATGTGAATGGCCATGTCCATGTCCATGACCATGACCATGATGATGTCCCTCTGATGCTGATTCTCTGGCTTGTTGAGCTATTAAAGCATGAGGAATAAGATGAAGAAAGGCATCACCAAGAAGACCACCAGAAGCAAAACTCAACAGAATTTTTAGAAAAGGTTGATATTCAGCTGAATTATCCAAAGGTATAAACCAAAGAATAAAAAAAGGAACAACAGAAATGGTAACAGTAGAAGCTAAAGCATAAAACCATACTTCAGATGCATCTCTTTTCACAACCGTATTCGCGCTTTCACCATGAGATGGTTTAGCATGATGATCATGGCTTTCATCGTGATGGTGTAAATGTGAGTGTCCAGAGTCAATTTTGGTCAATTTTTCAGGTGACACATCTTGATTGGCTTCACGGGAATACTTAAATGATGGTCTCTCATCTACCTCATCGTGATGGTGATGGTGAGAGTCATGGTGATGATGATCATGATCATGGTCATGATTGTGACCATAACTAAGGTTTATTGTCAACAATAATGCAAAACTAATAAACAAAGATGTATATCGACACCATAATGGGAAACCCATTTAAATAAATAAATAATTAACGTAACAAAATTATCAAAATAAAAACACTAAGACGGCCCAGCTTTTCATAGAAAGAGAGAGTGAATATTGTTTGCTGTTGCTGGCAGATGACTTGGCAATACAGGAGACAGACGCAAGAAAGAGAAAAGGTAACCTCTTGTTGAGAAGAAAATTCAGTGAAAACATCAATTGTTTTATATCATTTCTTTGGTGTCTATTCAGATTAATAACGATGATAATATTGTTTCATACAATTTTGAGAAATAAAGAATATCTGCTTATCTAAATTTTATCATTTATCAAAGATTTAGCATACATATTCATTCTGAATTGACGCGAAACACGTTACATTTGATCAAAATTGTTAATTAGAAAGCATTTATTTAAAAACAAGGTTAAATTAATCAAACAATATAGTCATTCAAAGAGGGAAACTTGGTTGAAAAGTGAAAAATATTCCTAGAACTTTAACATGAATAGATAATACTATTAGATATTTTTAAACATTAGGTAGCCCAGTAAGTTCTGCATGAAAAAGTTATCTTATAAATCAATGCATATAAAACTCAGGTTACAATTGAAAATATTTGCGATCATTTCATTGATTAATAATTTTGCTTAAAAATTAATTTTTTCAAAATGCAATTTTCGTACAAAAATTTCTGATCTACCTAAAATTATAGAAATATTTATCCATTTTGCTTATTAAGTTAGAAAATTTAAAGTCTGTTCACCCTGACAAATGTTAACGACACAGATCTAATATCTTATTTAATTTGTTTTGGTGTGCATAAAGCTCAAACTTCCTTTGCTTTTTGCAATGCAGCTACTTTTTCATCGATTGTTTTAAATTGTAAGGTCCAATTAGTATCGAATAAAAATTGTCTTTGGTCAAATCGATTATCATCCGGGGAAAATGTTTCAGCATGAAGTGAAGGCGTTAATACTGTTTGTTTGTGACGATTGCGAGCATGTAAAGTGAAAAATCGCTTGACTTTGTTGGACAAAATGACTGGATCAGAAGGCTGATTATACTGTTCAGCATTTTCCAAAAGCTTGCAAAATAAACTGTAAGGTCCGCATGCACCAAATTCGCCTCGACGTAGTCGGCCAAATAAGCTAAGCTCATCATATGTTAAACCGAGATCATCTTCATCGCTTTGATTTTCACCGGTAAGCTCTGCACTTGGAATAGCATTCAATATCAAGTCCAAAACTTCTTTGTCTTCAGTTAAAATTTTATCTTTTATGTAAGATAAGAATCTACGAAGATCACGTTTACTAAGGCTGCCAATTGGATTAAGATCAGCCGAAGAGCAATCATACTTTGTCAAGTATCCAACCAAAGCTTCGTCCACATTACCGCTTGCTAAGACTAGACGGTTACATTCACTAAGATCATAAGTTAGAACCATCCTCAGTCTGGCTTGAAGATTTTGAAGCCTTAAAGGAATACTTTTTGGAACTGCTCTATTGAGAGCTTTACTGGTCAAGCTATCGACAGATTTGTATATCTCGGTGAAATTTACGGAATAGAACTCAGCTCCACATAATTTTGCAAGTCGTTCAGCTCTTTCTTCACTAGCTTTACCCGAGTAATTAGTTTTCAAGTAAACACAGCGGAGTAATTTTCGACAGATATCTTTAGGTCCTTTGATATTTTTAAATGGTGTACCAAGTATTGATGTCAAGGAAGTCATAAATTCTGAATCATTCTCTATAAGTGATTGGTTTTTAGCATGCTTATAAATAAAAGAGCTCATACAGTAAACCAAGCAAGCAACGGAAGCTGAATCCAGTCCTCCACTCAAAGGCACAATGAAACCTTTGCACCATGAATGACAACGGCGCAAGTAATCCCAGAGCCAAAGAGATCCATACATAATTATTTCTTGTTCAGGTGTGATTGATTCAAGGTGGCAAGGTATATTTGAAGATAAAGGAGTTTGAAATAAATTGAAATTGAAAATAGAAATGGTTAGGTCCTTTGGGTAATCAACTAGTCCTGACTCTGGTTCACTCAGTTTACTTTGATTAGCGTAATAGTTTAATCGAGATCCTACGTTTCTATGTGAAAGGCTCCGAACATTGAATTGTTGGCGATAATTGATTATATCTAAAGGGTCCAATTTGTAGATTGCAAAATCGACATCTCGCAAAAATGTATCGGTGGTTGTTGTTTTAGAAACAACTTTTCCGTTGAGGACCTGAAGGCTTCTTCCGTAAAAACATATACGAGCTCCATCACAGCCAATTAAATTTGAGAAAGCGTAAAGACCACCTGATTTACTAGTCGCTGTTTTCATTAAATCAAGGGCACGATCGAGTTTACGAATTTCCCAGTATGAACCAGATCCATTGGCAATAATATGAACTCCTTTTTCCCCAAATAAAGATACATTTGAAGCATCAGCAACCCACATTTCTTCACACATTTCGAAACCAATCTTAACGGCGAAAGATTCAGAAACACTATAATTGATGTCAGGCTGTATGATTTCTAGAATAATATCTGACCCAAAAGGCACATATTTTTGATGTGTAAGAACTGATATGAAGGAGGGTAGAGGAAACCATTGAATGCTTGAGCCAGTTGGATCTCCCCAGGCAGTGAACCACCGAGATTCGCGATAATTTCCTCCATCAGCCAATTTAGTCTTGGGACGAATCATAAGAATTTTATTGTTAAGTAATATAATGCGACAATTGTAAAGCGATCCATCCTTATAAACAGGCATTCCTTCAAGATAAATATAAATATACAAAGGATTAGATTACTGAATACACAAAATTAGGATCCCGCAATAACGAAAATAATAATTTGAAAGGATAAAAATATACCTAGGTCAATGATTATGTCTCTAAAGTCATTTTGTATTATCTCAGCCACGATTTCCCATGAATGGAAAACAGTATCAGATTCGAAGAAAGCATCTTCACACGAATAACCAGAGATTTCAAGCTCTGGTCCAACTCTTAGAGAAGCTCCGTTTTCCTTAGCAATGTGAATACTTTTGACTATACGATCTCGATTTCCCACAAAATCCAAAGCCAATTGATTGAGAGTGAAGACAGCAACACCAATCTTTGACATGGCTGATTTTTAAGAGAAACTTTGTTATCGATAATTTGAGTCCAATTTTCGATCAATGATGATAATGACAATTGTATTTTGAGCAATATTTGACCAGGAAACTGCTCTTTTGTAGACAAGAAAATAGATTGACTGGAATATTATAAATGTAGCACTGGCAGCACAATATCATGGAATCCTGAATCAGTAAGAGATTAGAAAATGTCGAGGTGAGAAATTGTAATAAAAACCAGGTTATCACGACATTAATATAGATTAAAAAGCAAAAGAATATCTCTTTGAGAGTTGTATTTGTTATACACAATATATATAAAACAATGACAGTAAAAACCAAGAACTTTACACACAAGAACTTAAAAACTAAGTATTTGTACAAGCTCGAAGCAACAGTAAAAGTAAAATATACGATATGAAATGAAAACAAAATACGAAATCTAATGTAAACAGACAAATGTGAAGACTTACTCAGAAAGCCAGAATGGAAGGCAAAACGTCATGAAAGATGATCGGATGAAAATGGAGAGCAAGAGGAAATCATAATCAGATAACAAATAATTATTGACTAATATCAGATTATATAATCACAGAACTCTAGATTTAAATCATTAGCAATCAAACATGAATTTAGATTGTATCTAAAACTACAGATACTTTTATTGATACTGAGCCTAGTAGCAATGTGTTACACTAGATGTTAGCACTGGATGCAACAAATTCATTTTGTTATAAATGATGACTTTGAAGGTTGAGTAATCTTGTCAACGTTTTAAAAGGTCTTTAAAGCTATTCCCATTTTATGTTCACTGTTTTATTTTCATTCTTCACTTGGATCACAATCAAAATGTCAGGAAACAAGGAACGAACTTTCATCATGGTTAAACCCGACGGTGTCCAACGGGGTTTGGTCGGTGAGATCATTAAACGATTTGAAGCCAAAGGTTTCAAATTAGTTGGTATCAAGATGAAACAGGTAAGGTGTCTTTTCATGGCTATCTCTTTATCTGATTCTCTCTTTCTTTTCCGGCTTTCTTTCCCTTATTTCCGTCCCATGCTTTCTTTTATCAATTAACAATTTGATTTTAATTATTCTCTCTAGGCTTCTGAAGAACTTCTTAAGAAACATTATGAAGAACTTGCTGGCAAGCCATTCTTCGGTGGTCTTATTAAATATATGTTATCTGGTCCAGTTGTCCCTATGGTGAGTTGGTCACACCTAATTTATATTTTTCATTTTCATTTTTTTTCAAATTGAAAATTTCATTTAATTGTTCATTTTTTTAACATTTTTGTCAATTTCAAGGTATGGGAAGGATTGAACGTTGTCAAAACTGGACGAGTTATGCTTGGTGAGACCAACCCTGCTGACTCCAAGCCTGGAACCATCAGAGGAGATTTATGCATCCAAGTTGGAAGGTAATTAAATGTTTTTTATCAAGTCTTATATAATTATTCGTTGCTGTCTTACAAATGAACTCAAATTATTTTATTTTGAATTTTGCTTCACAGAAACATCATTCATGGAAGTGACTCAGTTGAAACCGCTAAGCGAGAAATTGGTCTTTGGTTTGAAGACAAGGAGTTGTCTGACTGGGCTCCAGCTCAACAATCATGGGTCTATGAAGATTAAGTTAATTCTATTTGATTATTTCAAATAAATTTGTATCTTGAATATGTCCAGACTTTTAAAAGTAAACTAGTGAAAGAAAAAAACCTCCATTGTTTCGTAAATTTATTTTTTGAGTTGAAAAAGTGTTATCATCCATTTTCCTTTACCTGTAAAGCTCAATTTCGGGTTATTCAATCTTTATCCTATCTACATGTACAGAACAGCCTCATCCCGATTAGCAGCTCCAGCTGGAACACCAAGGTTAAAGATAACTTTAAACGTGACATAAGTCAATATAGCTGCCATTGCAATTAAACACACAAAGATAACAACGTTGAGTGTCGTTTCACTTGATAATTGAGCTTGTTCATGGTGACGTTGAACTGCCTTAAATGGATTTTCAACAATGGCATGTGCATCTGCTTCCGCTTTCTGTTTAACCCAATTTTTATGAACCTTTGAAAATGAATATTGATTGGCAGCAATTAGACTTTCTTCCAGATTCTCTGAAATTAATTTCACTGATGATCCAGACAAGCCAAGAGCGTCAAGGGAAGCTGTTAGATTACCAAGGAATAAATAATCGCCATCTTCGCCATACCTGACCTTAAAATCTTTACGAATAGCAATTAGATGGAAAAAGCATCCAGAATTTACTTGATAAACTGATATTTTCATCAAAACTGCTACAAGAGCTCTACAATGATGATGAGGTAAACGATTTGCTAATTCAGCTAAATCCATACCAATTAAACATTTGACCGATCCAATGGATAACAAGGAAACAATAACCCAAAGGTTAACCTTAATCATATTAACAAACCTTTGGTTAGTTTTACTCTAACCATTCAATCATTTTGATTCAATTAAATTTAGAATCTTGTGAATGATTGTTGAAATAATATTGATTAACCATGTTCATCCTTTTTGTGTAAAACAAAGTGTCTATTCAAGCATTGTTACAGCTTGGATAAAACACTCAAATAATCATTTGAAATGTAAATAATGGTCAAAGATCTTTAACAGTTCATATGGTCAAGATGATTGTGAAGGTACAGATGCATGTCTAAATGTTGAACAATGAAAACATCAAACAATCCTAAACTCATTTCATTTATTCCCATTTATTGATTTTTATTCAAAACTCATCTTTTATTATCTTTTACTAAATAAAGATATTCAATCGAATAGTAATTACAATTTATGAATCACTAAGGCTTTTGATTTAGGCTCAAATCATCTCAGGACCATTCATGTCCATAACAATGATAATCTTTTAATAATATTGAGGCAGTCTTTCAGAGTAACACAAGACACACAAGATAATCAAGAAAATTGAGTTAATCGAGAAAATTGATTGTTACTCAACCGTCAAATTCAAGTTTTGATATCAACTTAAATCCAGTGCATTTTCATTTCAAGAAATGGTCTCTTCAACTGAATTGAATATTGTCTTGTAAACTAATCTAAACAAAGTATTTCTTGGGTTTGAAAAAAAGGGATTTTCATTTTCCAAGTAAACATTAGCTGTGCCTTTACAAAACATGTTTAGATTGTGACGATTTAAATTGTTATAAAATACAAAATAAATATACTTTAATGGCCTACAGATTTGCAAGATTGAGAAGTTGATTTTGTTGATTTCATGAATGAATATTTTATTGCTTTTTTTGCTTTTGTTATTTTTTGTTATAATGTTTGAGGCTGAATTGTTGTTGAAATGATTGTTTTCTTACAAGAAGATGATGAACAGATGAAAAGGAAGATATAACATTAATAACAAGGTTATGTTGATGTTAGTGATGGTTTACAAGGAAGATAAGCTTGGAAATTGGAAATATTAGGTTTGATCTCTGAGCGAGTTTTAATCGCAAATAGTGACTCTGTACAAGGCCAGTTTGAATGGGTCGGTCGTAAGGTTGAAAAACAAGCTTATAAGAAATTCAATGATGAGTGATTCCGAAGATGGTCGAGTTAATGGTCAAAATGAGGACAAATTATCTGGAGATTGAATGATGACAACTATAGATTTTGTATGAATATCGTGATGACGATCATGATGATGATTATGATGATGATTATCGTGTTTGCTTGTTTTCCTTTCTCTCGTCATTTCCATCGCATTTTGGATACAATTTGAATTATTTCCAGTTTGCCTTTCATTGGTCTTGATTGCCTTTTGGTTTCGCTGAGGTAAAGGTTTGTCCATAAATTGTTTGCTTCACCTTTATTTATCTTGACAACAATCAATGGCAATCAATTGTTCCATGAAAGATTCGCTTCTCTTTATTTGCCAATTTTCTTCATGGGTTTTGTACCAAGGATTATGCTTGATTATGAGATCAACTCTTGAAGATGATTTGCTTCAATGAAAATACCAATATTGATTTGATGAGAGAGTTGAGTTAACATTTTGACAATCATTATCACAATCAAGATGTTTAAAGACAGTTATGAGGAGGTTAATCAAAATATGATGATACAATGGCCATTAAATGGTTTCAAGACAGTTTGAGCTTTCCGGCTGTAAAGTAACAAAGTAAAGAAAAAATGATTAGTTGATTTGGAGAGTCAATTTGGATTTTGATTAAATTGCAATTAGGGTTACAATCGAGGAATAACTCTTGGCTTGGCAGTTTCATTCAATTAAATTTGCTTCTTTGGCATCTTCCATTGAATACAAAGTTGACATTTTCAATAGTCTCTTGAGGACTTTTTTTTGTATTGTTTTTCACTCTATTTAGTTTGTCTCGTTTCATCAACTGATGAAAGTTAAACAATTAAGCTAAATTAGATTATCAAGATTCAGGCAAAGATTTAATTTAGAGTTTTAAAGCATTCTCTTAAAGGTTTGAAAGGTTAAAGTCATTGTCCTTAAAATACAAAGGGAAAGTCAATTTTTTTGTTGATGAAGATGAAAATTTTTAATAAAATAAAATGAACAAAATTTAAAGTCGAGATCGTCATTGATCAGTAAACAAGGGACAATGCAATCAATGAATTGTCAGTTATGTTAATCATTTACCAACATTATTGTGATAAATTATTGTAAATATATAATAATGTCAATAGCTCAAGGGTAAACTGTTTCAACATTTTCCAACAGTGAAAGTTATTCAATTGAACTGTTCAATTGAACATGTAATTTAATAAAAACCAGAAAATCAAAATAAATTGGCTAAATTGAATAAATATTGATGTTAACGATAATCAGTTGAATGTTTGAAATGAAGGATGAAAATATTTCAACAAAACATTTTGATCAACAGATATTGAAATAAAGTTAAGAGCAAATTGAACTATAAACAAGTCACTTAATTGTGAAGATAAAAAATAATTGTCATCTGATCATTACAAGTGACAATAATTGAGATCAACTATTTGAGAGTCCGATTCGTTGAGCGACATCAGCAAAGTTACCACGAACTCGAGTAAACTTTCTCAATGAAAGGTTGATCAGATTTTTGGTTAAACTGCAAATTGAACGAACCAAGATGGACCTGTAAGTGCAACATTCCTGGTAACAACCAGTTCCAGCATTGGGTACAACAGGGAACACTGGGTAAGGTTGGTTGATGCCACCGGGATAGGGTTGACCTCCAGGTTGTCCTCCGGGTTGCCCAGGGTAGGCTGTTGATGAGTACCAGGGTCGGAAAGTTGAATGAGGTCGAGCTGGTGGATATTCAGAGATGAAGTTGGAGGCCTCCGTTTCAAGGGATGAAGATGTAAAAGATGAATCTGAACATGAATCGTAACTTGAACAGGTTCGATTGATGGGTGAAAATGTTTGCCCACTGGGACAGTATTGAAGGTAACTTGAGCCTGACCAGCAATAGTAATAAGATTTACAATTGTCTGGATTAGGAAAGTAACCGTAATTTGATGGGCACACAAATGATGAAGGCGATGGACCCGATTGACGATGTTTAACTTGACCTTTAATGCATATGCTTAATACACTTGATATGAGTAAAAATTGAAATTTTGATAATTTAAACATTTTTCGCTTTTTTGGATTCTTTTCTATTCACCAAAACATTAAACCTTACTATTTGATATGATTGTTGCTACTAATTACCAACATGCACTGGATTCATTGTAGTGACAGTTTTGTTCATGATCACAGAAGAGTTGAATTAATTTGATAATAATTTATAGCTGTAATAGCTTTGGAAATGATGCCAATGACAGAATATTAATGATATGAATAAAGTATTAATAATGATGTGAAAAGGTGAAAAATATCATTGAAAGTGAAAGGTAAAAAAGTGATTGTCATCATGATAGTTTTCAAGATACTCATCTGACGAAATAAATTAACGATTAACTATTAAGATGAGAATCTCATAGAAGTAATTTTGAGCTTCTAAATCAATCGCAATTTCAGTCGAGCTCAGCTTTATTTTTCAATTTATATTCGTTAATGTTTGGACCTTTTTTTAACTGACGTTGAATATTTTCAATCGAAGATGAAAAATCGATCAAAATTGGACACTGAGATAATGAGAAAACTTGAAATGAACTTCAAATCTATCGATTCTCATTCAATGTCCAAAGCATTGAATGTTGTTCTGAATACTGATGACTTATCAATCAAAAAGGAAATTAAATTAATCATTACTATTGAATATATTCAACAAGCAATCAACTTAACAATTAATCAATAGTTTTGTCCATTTTGATAAGTTAAATGTTCCGAAATTGTCAAGTCAATGAACCAATTAATGTATTTTTGTCCATCAATTATGTAAACTGATTGTTGAAACAAATTATCTAATCAATAATGAAACCTATTTTTATCCATTAAATAATGAATAAATATATCAATTTACAATAATAGTTGAGCGAACTTTTCACGAAAATTTGTTTTTACAGAAAAAAAAACTTGAAACAGCGAAAAAAAACTCTGATTTAATCAAGTTGATTGAAATTGATCTGAACATGAAACAAAAATGAAAATCAATAAATATACAGAAATAGCATTTAATGAACTTTCAATGTTTTTTTCATTTTTGTTTCAAAACAAATGTTTCATGAAATGAATAAAATAAGAAGGAAAACATGAAAATGTCGACAAAAGCAACACATAAATTGTTCACCATTTG